CCCACTCCAGTATTCTTGCCTGAGAAATCCTCTGGACAGAGGAGCCTGGTGGGCTACAGTCCATGGGTTGCAAAGAGTCAGACACAACTTAGTGACTGAACAACAACAGCCACTTTGGGAGACAACTTGGCAGCTTCTTACAAAATTCAACATACACCCACCCCCTGACCCAGCCATCTAGTCCGAGGGATCCACCTTAGAAAGATAAAAATTTCTGATCACATAAAATCCCATAAACAAATGTTTGTAGCATCTCTATTCATAATCACTAAAAACTATGAAGAATCCAAATGTTCAACAGATGTTCAACAGTGAATGGATGAAGTTGTGCTATGTCCATAATATGGAATACTGCTGGCAGTGAGAAAGGATCCACATGTGGGTGGATCTCAAAGATGTCCTCTGAATGTAAGAAGCCAGTCTCAAAGGTTATATACTGTTTAACTTCACTTATGTGACGTTCTGGGAGAAGCGGAAGTATAAAGATGGAGACCCGATCAAGGGTGCTCAGAAATTAGGGGTAGGGTGAGGGTTTGACTTCAAGGGGGCAGAATGAGGGAGGGCCTCTTTGGTTTTCTGGGTATTTCTGGTGATGGAAGTGCTCTATAAGGCTACAGGAATCAATTTTAAAACTCAAAGTATTATGCAACAAAAAAGGTCAATTTTACTTTAAATAAATTCAAATAATAATGACTGAAAGCATGACAGCATGCAATTGATGTAAAACAATGAGATAAAAGCAACAGGTAGATGTAAGAATAAGAGCATTCTGAATTAAGCTAAGACGGCACACATTCATAGTTATAATTAAAACAGACTAAGATATATTAATATAAACCAAATACAATGAAAGAGCTTTGCTTTGATCTTACTTTGAATAAAACAGCTGAACAGACAATTTTAGATGACTGGAGACATTTGAATATGGCATTACATAATATTAAAGATTAAAGGTAGGATTGTACTTATTTAAAAAGTAAATATTCAGGGGTGAGGGATACTTCCGGCTCGAGATGGCCGAGTAGAAGGACATGAGCTTATTTCCTCCTGTGAAAGCAACAAAACTGCACCTACCTGTTGAACAATCACTGACAGGAGGACGCTGGAACCCACAAAAAAAGATACCCATGTCCAAAGACAAAGCAGAAGTCACGCCGAGATGGCAGGAAGGGCACAATCATGATAAAATTAAATCCACAGCCCACAGACCCCAGGGCTGGGTTGTCTCAGGCTGCCACAGAGGGAGGGCAACCCCACCCATCAGCAGATAATTGGATTAAAGTTTTACTGAGCAAGGCCCTGCCCACCAGAGCAAGACTCAGTTTTTCCCACCATCAGTCCCTCCCATCAGGAAGCTTACACAAGCCTCCTAGCCTGCTCCATCAGATGGCAGACAGAAGAACCACAATCCCACAGTGGCTAAAACAAAAACTACATTTCGGGAAAACAATGGGGAAGATGCAAGATATGTTTACCAAAGAACTAAAGGAACAAACAAACAAAGATGAATAATACACTAGAAGGAATCAATAGCAGAATAACTGAGGCAGAAGAATGGATAAATGACCTGGAGGACAGAATGCTGGAAATCACTTGCTGCAAAACAGAATATAGATAAAAGAATGAAAAAAAAAAAAAATGAAGACAGCCTAAGAGACCTCTAGGACAACATTAAACACAACAACATTCGCATTGCAGGGGTCTCAGAAGGAGGAGAGAGGGAAAGAACCTGAGAAAATATTTGAAGAGATAATAGCTGAAAACTTCCCTAACATGGGAAAGGAAATAGACAACCAAGTCTTGGAAGCACAGAGAATCCCAGGCAGGATAAACCCAAGAAGGAACATCATGAGACACATAGTAATCAAACTGACAAAAATTAAAGACAAAGACAAAATATTAAAAGCAACAGGGAAAAACTACAAATAATATACAAGGGAACTCCCTTCAGGTTATCAGCAGGTTTCTCAACAGAAACTCTACAAGTCAGAAGAGAATGGGATGATATATTAAAGTGATGAAAGGGAAGAACCTACAACCAAGAAAACTCTACCCAGCAAGCTTCTCATTCAGATTTGATGGAGAAATCAAAAGCTTTCCAAATAAGCAAAAGTTCAGAGAATTCAGCACCACCAAACCAGCTTTACAACAAATCTTAAGGGAATTTCTCCAGGCTGGAAACACAAGAGAAGACCACAGAACATAAATCCCAAACAATTAACAAAATGGTAAACAGGATCATAGGTATCAATAATTACCTTAAATGTAGATGGATTAAATGCACCAACCAAAAGACATACATTGTCTGGGTGGACGAAAACATGTATATATACACTTCCACTTATCACATCACTCTGCGTGACCCCCCAAATTGTATGTAATTATTTTATATTGTTAGGTTAATCATGTACCCATTATGGCCTGCAACTGTAATTATCTTTTATTTTTTGTTTGGCTATTGTGAAAACTGATAAGCATCTTATACTATTGAGATTATGTAACTATTACTCATTGAATACCACTGTAGCAGGATTGGTCAACAGAAAAATAATAGAATTCCGTATCACGAAAACTACTGTGTAATAGGAAAACCTGTAATCACTTTTTAAAATCTAGATGCATATCAATTATCTTGGAATTCTTTGAAAAATACAAATGCCCAGGTATTGCTTTTTTTTCTCCAAAATTCCAGATATATTTCTAATGAGAAGCCATGTTTAAGAACACCAGAACTATATGATGATCTTTTATTCCTCTCTAGTTTGTTTCATTTATTTCTATTTCATATTCAGTGCTCCCATTTCATTTAGTGTATGTTTTCCAATTTCTCCATCTCTTTTTTCTGATGTTCCTTCTCAAGCCTTTATCAAGCATAGTATAAAAGCTTTGTATACATATATAAATATGTATTATATATATTTTAGAAAACTTAAATGAATTTCTAACTAAAAAATGTATGACATTTTGATTCTACCTCTTTGACTTAGTATGAATAGAATACTAGATTTCTAATTTAAAAAGTTGGCATGCAACAAGCAACAAAAGTTTACTGTATAGCACAGGGAACTATAATCACTATCTCATAATAACTTATAATGGAAAATAATTTCAAAAATAATCTACGTGTATATGTACAACTGAATCACCCTGCTGTGCCCCTGAAACACTGTTAAGTCAATCACAGCTTTTTAGGCTTTTATAATCTGCATCTAACTTTACAGAAAACCAAGTCAAGGGAGAAAGAGTAATTCAAAGCAGCTGTGATTCGTCTCAAAAATAATGGCTTAAAGAATGCTTTTATATCTCATTTAATGCTCATAAATTACTAAGACTATCATGAGCTGTAGAAATATTAATAGTGTTCATTAATTTATCTGCTTTATCTACCTAAGTGCAGATAACAATGGCAGGAAGGGGTAATTAATGCTCAAAAAGCTGCACGGCAGATGTAGGAATGGACAGACCAGAACACAGCATAACACGAGCTCTCTCTAGTTCACTCTTTCTCTGCTTTACTCTGGTGTAACTCCAGGGTCAGAGGTCTATAAAAGCACTCCCAGCCAGCCAACAGACTCCTCACTGGGGGTCTGTTAGGAGAGAGAGACCCAGCTCTCAGTCAGTCAGTACTAACAGAGAAGAAAATACTCAGTCCTGAGTTGGCCAAAAAGCTCCTCTGGGTTTTTCCATGAGATGGGACTGGAAAACCTGAACAAGCTTTTTGGCCAACCCAATATTATAATATGAATTTTATTTATCATCTGGCAGTATTTAAGGCTAGTGTACAAAAAGAATTACACAGGCAAAAGCAGCAGAAAAACCAGAAGGTAAAATAGCTGCAGCTGCAAACCCCCGTCAGGGTGCAGAGCACGGGGCACAGGAGTCAGTCAAAGAAGATCCTGACCGGCGCTCCGCGGAGACACAGACGGCGGAGGATTCGCAGAAGCCCCACCACCACACACAACCACACACCACCACCGACGGAGAGGCCCCAGGAACCTCGGGGCTGTCAGCACCTGGCCGGAGCGCATCCGACGGCCCCAAACGTCTGGGGAGCCACCGCCAACCCAGCGAGGTGATGGCAGAAAGGCCCCCAAGAGCCCCGTCCTCAGCCCCAGCGCCTGGTATTGCGTGCAGTTCAAGTTAAGGGCCTGAAGACGCGGAATTACCCTGGATGCTCCAAGCGGGCTCAATCGGACCACGAGGCTTCCAAGTGGAGCCGTTCTCCTGGCTGGGGGTCCCCAGGGACACAGAGGGGCTCCCTTGCAAGTGGAGGCTGAACCGTCAAGAAAACACATTCGCCTCCAGAGCTTCCAGGGAAGGAAACGGCCCCCCCGAAGACCCGGATTTCAGCCCAGAGACGCCCAGCTGGATTCCTGCCCTGGGGAACAGGACGATCCATCTGGCTGGTTTCGAGCTCCGGCAGGACCAGGAAACTAAGACAAAAGTCAGACCCGCTTCCTCAGTCACCGGGCCTCCGCCTGAGTCGGCCCCCGCCGCCACTTTGCGTCCTCACTTCCCCGTGAAGAAGCCCCAGTCAGTATTCTTTGTCGGAATCTCAGTACCTGGTTTTCATCATATGCTCATTAATCTGTGTTAACAGGTTTTTGTTTTTTTTTAAAGAGCTTAAATTGGCAGGTATTTATTCAGGAGACACAAAACAGGGATACTATAAAGGGGAGATTGACATTTTTTCCCCCTATGTAAAGTTAAATTTTTCCTCAGAGCATAAATACTGTAAACAAAGTTTAAAAATGGGGAAACAGTTGTAACATATTTGACAAAAGATTAGCATCCTCAATGTATACAGAGTTCTTACAAATCAGTAAGAAAAAGACCAATGGCACATTATCTAGAAAAAAAATGGTTTCAACAGACAGATTCACCACTATTCCTAAAAGACAAACAGGAGTTCCAACTGACGCCCTCTGTCAACATACTTTCTCTGGTGCTCTACAGTTTAGAACAGCAAACACTCCAGAAAAGAGGAAAACAATTCTCACCTGTAAGCTTCTTTCTTCAAACCCGCGTAGCCCTGGAATCCTGCATCAGAGTGAGTCTGAAGAGTGTCTGACCTCAGAATCCTTCCAAACAGGATGCCAGGACAAGTAGTTCCACCTCACAGTGGGACCAGAAGTCCATGGACCAAGTGTCTGGTTCTCAGTCCTGCCGGGGGTGAGATGAAGGGGAAGGTAAGTGAAGAAAGCTGAGTGTTTAAGAGATGAAGGCTTAAAGGCTAAAGCACCCAGCCCCTTGGACGGCATCTCAGACCTTGGGTGTGTGGCTCAGAAGGAAGGGACCACCATTCAGTGGAAAGACATGACCCAAGGGACCGAAGGATGCCTGGAACAGAGGCAAGCCCGCACTGGTGTAGCAGACGGGCCCAAAGTTCTCGACTTTGGGAAACAGCAGTTATAGCCTCTCCTTCAAGTAAGGAAAATAAGAATGGAGTGTATCTTCAGCCATCAGGGTAAGATTATTTTAGGAATACTGAGTTTCCCGGACGTGGATTTGAGTCTTTTTTTTAGGAAAAAAAAAAAATATATATATATATGTATATTTTGATGTGGACCCATTTCTAAAGTCAATATTGCTTCTGTTTTATGTCTTGGTTTTTTGGCCGTAAGGCATGAGGGATCTTATCTCCCTGGCCAGGAATCAAACCCTCGTCCCCCTGCATTGAGCAAAATCTTAACCACTGAACTGCCAGGGAAATCCCCTTGAATCTTTTGAAAGTAAAAGTGAAGTCGCTCAGTCGTGTCCAACTCTTTGGGACCCCATGGACTACACAGTCCATGGAATTCTCCAGGACAGAATACTGGAGTGGGTAGGGTAGCCTTTCCCTTCTCCAGGGGATCTTTCCAACCCAGGGATCAAACCGCATCAAACCCAGGGTCTCCCGCATTGCATGCAAATTCTTTACCAGCTGAGCCACAAGGGAAGCCCAAGAATACTGGAGTGGGTAGCCTTTCCCTTCTCCAGGGGATCTTCCCGACCCAGGAATCGAACTGGGGTCTCCTACATTGCAGGCGGATGCTTTACCAACTGAGCTATGAGGGAAGCTCAAATCTTTTAAAGTCCTAAATTAAGGGGGAAAAAAAAAAAATTCAGGGACTTCCCTGGAAGTCCAAGGAAGATGCCACACTTCCAATGCAGGGGGCGCAGTTTCGATCCCTGGTCAGGGAACTAAGATTCCATATACTGCATGGTATGGCCAACAAATAAAGTGACTCGTTCAACAGTTAGAAAAAACATTCAAACCAGATCTGAAGCATACTTGCCATCAATGGTGATGCTAACTCTAATTAAGCGTTTAGATCTACCTTGCAGTTTATGCAGACACAGTAGATAGAGGAACAAGCTAAACCACACTCTATACAAAGCTGAATAAACCCAGAATGAGAGCCGTCCGGAGCCAACCAGGCGATACCAGCAAACCATGGCATTAAAGAAACCCACAGGACTGCTTCAGACCAGAGTCAGCAAACTACGGCCCTCAGATAACTCCCGCCTGCAGGCGGAGTTTAATACAAAAACTTGGGAAACAGTTTTCCTAGAACACAGCCATGCTCATTCACATTATCATCCAGGGTTGAGTCTTTACAGCAACACAGCTGAGTAGCTGCAAGGGAGACCACAGGGCCCGAGAAGCCTTAAAGAGTCAGTAACTAGCCCTTTTCATTAAGTCTGTCAACGCCCTGTCCTGGACTAAGGACAACAGACACCCAACAAAACACCCTGTGTGGCCCGTTTTGATTCACACAAGCCAAGAATAAAAGTGCATTTCTGAGGCAATCAAGGAAATCTGTGGCCTGAGTTCTAGAAAACATTAAGGAATTATTGTCAATTTGATAAAGAGGTAACAATGGTATTATGGTTATACAAGAAAATGCCTTTTTGGAGGTACATACCACACTAATTGGGCTTCCCAGGTGGCTCAGTGGTTAAGAATCTGCCTGCCAGTGCAGGAAACCTGGGTTCGATCCCTCGGTTGGGAAGATCCCCTGGAGAAAGGAACAGCAACCCATGCCAGTATTAATGTCTGGGAAATTCCACGGACAGAGGAGCCTGGCAGGCCATATCCATGGGGTCGCAAAAGAGTCAGGCGTGACTTAGCAATAATTAAACAAAAGCAACTCCCCTAGATAGGGGTGAAATATGTTGTCTGCAATTTAAACTGCTTCAACAAAAAGATAAGCAGATACAGCCAAAAAAAAAGAAATCGTTTTAATCAGCCATTAAATCTAGTTGATGGATATATGGAAGTTCATTATACCATTCCCTTCCCTTTTAAATTTGCTTTAATAAAAAGGAAATTAAAAATCAGAGCTCTGATCAAAAACTAGAGCTTATCTCCAGAGGGCCTTTCTCTAGAGAGGCCTAGGCAGGCCTCCGGTCCCACCGTCCTTCCAGAGTTTCATCCCTATTTCTCCGACACGGTTACAAGATCTCCTGGAGCAGGAAATGGCAACCCACTCCAGTATTCTTGCCTGGAGCATTCCATGGACCAAGAAGCCTGGCGGACTACAGTCCACGGAATCATAAAGAGTGGGACATGACTGAGCCTGCATGCACGTGGGTACAGTCTGCCACCAGGAATGCTGGTCCCCATTCCACTCCTCTGCCTGTAAAAATTCTACCCTGGGTCCAAGATGAATCCTCACTATGACCTCCCCCAGTCCTCTGGCAGGAATTCATTTCCCAGTGCTCTAACTGCCCTTGGGCACTTACTTCATCCTCCAGAAATGTTAGCTATTTACCATGTCTATTACCCTGTGATGTCATACAAACCCGAGACTTCTACTAACTGTGAACCAGTTTCAGGGGGTATAATATGGGGGCATAATAACACCTTCCACATTGTCATCTCTGCCTATTCTCTGCCTAGCTCTCAGATCCAATCTAGGCAAGGTTGTCTTGCCCTGAGCAGTTTTACTGACCAGAGAGAGCTTCAATTACAGAACAAATTCCTGTTACGCAGATGCCGGCCCTGTTTAACCAACAGTCTCTTCATAAAATCTCTAATCTGAGCATTACCTCTTGGATGAAGAAGGTCCTAGAAAAGAGTAAGATTGCTTGAATTTTGTCCTCCTGTCATCACCTTCCTTGGGACCTTCCACCTGCAAACACTGCTGTACTAATCTCCATGCGCCCCCGGTGCCCCAGCCCCTTGGAAAGGCCGGGCGGACTTGAGTACAAAGCCCTCAAGTGGAGCCTTGACTCCACCTGCAAGAGCTGACCCAGACTGGAACCTGCAAGATCTTACTACATAAAATAAGAGGGCAATGAACAGATCATTTTAAAAACGTAATACCACGCTCTATTTTTGCTCTATTCTTCTTCCCACAATTGGCTACCTAAGGTCAGCGTGAATAACCACCTTCTCTAGGTCTAGTGCTAATTGTCAGGACCCTGGTTTGCAAGGTCAGCCAGTCCAAAACACTTCTGTACAAAGGTCCACCAATTAGAAATTAATTTACCTTTGCAAACTCAGCTTTTGAAACACAAATGCTCTCTACCCAGGCAGTCTGCTTATTCAGGAACTTCTGGTTTCTCCAGGGAGTCGTTTTAGGAAAAACAAGGCATTTGGGGGAAATGTGGGCAACCTGCAGGGGTCTCTTATTAGCATTTCAATAAATTGAGTGAGACCAGGGAGACCGGTCTTCAGTTACAGGAAAAAGTACATAAAAACGTGTGTGTGAGACCTACATGTTATATTGGTCAAATCCAACTGATTTAGAGAGACCTTTTAGTTTTTAATCCAGGATTTCTCCCTGGGACATTAAGTAAAATTAATATCCTGCTTTAAGAAGACGTGGCTCCAAGTCTCATTTGCTTATCAGTTCAATATTAACAGTCAGCCTGGAGTCAGGTGTGTTTAAAAAAAAATCGTGCACCAATAAATTTAATTATTAAAAAAAAATCGTGCACCTCCTTAGCGTTACCAGTGCGACTGCAGTGTTATCTTTGGCCAACAGAGTGAAAGCTCAATACGCATATTTCCTCATCAAGGCAGTAAAAGAGTTCTTCAAAAACTCAGCTGTGTCACTAACAGCTCCGAAGAAGCCTGAACTCAGAAACTGACAAATGCCAGATGTTCCCGGTTTTCTTTCGCAGCTTTCTGGTCTCCTCGCAAACAGGGATCTCTAGTTAAAAACAAGCAGCAGACCGGGAGATCCTTTTCAAGAGGACCCTTCTGAACGGTCATCACGTCTTCCTTGGGCAGAGGCAGCGTCTACACCTGGGTAACTGGCCGAGGCGTCCGCGTCGCGCTGCACCGGGCACTGTGTGGACGCGCTAACGGCCCGGGGTCCCCGCCCTTCCAGCCGCTCCCGCAGGCGCCGCGTCCCGCCACGGCCGCGGCTCTGTCCCCGTCCTCTGTCCCAGGCTCCCGCGGGCCCCGGATACGCGCCGGCGTGCGACGCCTCCAGGCCCCGGGGCCCCTGGGCCCCCTCGCGGCGGGGGCAGGGACGGACAGGGGCCCCGGCTCGGCCCGCGCCCGGCGCCTCACCTGCCTCGGAGCGCGGCGCCCTTCGGGGAGAGCCGACCCGAGCGACCGAGCGGAAATCCTGGCCGGACTATGGTCCGTAGCCCACCAGGCTCCTCTGTCCATGGGATTCTCCAGGCAAGGATACTGGAGTGGGTTGCCATGCCCTCCTCCAGGGGATCATGACTTACCGCCTCTTCCCTGGATCCCAGGACTAAATTTGAGCCCCAGAAATGAGAAGAGTGAAGACTAGAAGCTGCAGGAGAAGTTTATTTTTTTCCTAGACTTTGTTCATTCTGGGTTTAAGCAATGCTCCTTTGGGGACCTGGGTGAAAAGAATGGCACAGAGATAGAGGGGGCCACTTCTGCCCCCATCCCAAAGACGAACGCATAAGTACTAGGTGTTGGACTAGAAATAATGCCGCTTACTTGTCTTTCCACTCTCTCATGCATGGGGTTGGACTCATGTGGTTTTTACAATCTGGTTTCTACCCAAACATTTCCAATAATGCTGATGTGGTTGTGTTTTGAACAGATGTGCAATTCCTAAAGAAATCTAAACGATCAGATTCATAAGTCTTACTTTTCACAGAGTTCTTTCTTGTGTGGGGAAGTTCATAATTAAATTTAAATTTATATTAATATAAAAAAGCCTCATCTAATGTATATTTTAACATACCATTTTTGAAGAGTAGCTATAATCTTCTTAATTTTTTTTTTCCAAAAGGAAGAGTGGTTCCCTTTTTATTTATCTATTTTTTGAAGGAGGAAGGTCATGTCAGCAAAAGAATGTGTGAGGGAAATAAATGAATAAATAATTCCCCTGATGAACGAAGATTAAAGATGGTAAGGAGTTGAGTGTTAAATTGCATTTATTGCCAGATAAGGCTGGGAGAGTCTGATCCAATATGGATTAGACTCTGTGGGATGAGATATTCAGTTTAACTGTCAAAAAATAACCCACAGAAAAATAATTTATAATAGTAATTTTCAAAACGCGGTCCCAGATGGGCACCATGAGCAGCACCTGGGAATTTAGAAATATAAACTCAAAGCCCACACCCCAAGCCTTCTGAATAACCAACTCTGGGGGTAATACCCAGCGAAATGAAATGCACTTGAACAAGTGACTCTTTTTTCTTCATAATGATCATTTACTTTTTCCCTAGTTTTATTAAGATACAGTTGTCTCACAGCATTATAAAAGTTTAAGGTCATTTGCATAATGATTAAATCCACATAATGTTTTGACTTATAGACATCATGAAATGATTATCACAAGAAGTTTAGTGAACATCCATCATCTTCAGTTCAATTCAGTTGCTTAGTCGTGTCTGACTCTTTGCAACCCCATGGACTGCAGCATGCCAGGCCTCCCTGTCCATCACCAACTCCCGGAGCCCACTCAAACTCATGTCCATCAAGTCAGTGATGCCATCCAACCATCTCATCCTCTGTCATCCCTTTCTCCTCCTGCCTTCAGTCTTTCCCAGCATCAGGGTCTTTTCCAGTGAGTCACACTCTCCTCTTTCACTTTCATCATCTTTCACTTTCCATCATCTTATATAAATATAAAATAAAAAATTTAAAGAAATAGAAGTAGAAAAAAAATTTTGGTGTGATGAGAACTCTTAGGATATACTCGTCTTAGTAACTTTCCTACAGGAGTATTAATTATATTTATTATCTTGTACATCACACCCCTAGTACTTGTTCATCTTACAACTTGAAGTTTGCAGTACCTTCATCTAATTCCCCCACCTGTCCTGCCGTAACCACAAATTTGATCCATTTTTTGTTGAGTTTTTATGTTTCTTTGTTTTTGAAGTGTAACTGACCTACAATACTATGTTAGAAAAACTACACCATTATGTTAGAAAAATCAGTTTCTCAAGGAAACTCAGACAAGTCTTGGCTTCAGTTTTGGGTTGGTGGGTTACACCAGAGCCCTTAGCAAGCCAGCTGCTCTAGTGGGTTTAATAACTCGAGTGGGCTCACGGAGGCTGTCAGTTGCCTGCAAATGGTACAGCTGAGTCCTTCGCTGGAAATGATCCAGCCCACTGTCAGCTGTTTTTCTGTTCATTCTGATCTGGTACTCTGCTGTCCACAGTCTCCCATACCCTCCACACTCAGGGTCAAGAAGCTGGCCAACTGTTATGCCCCAGGTTCAAAGCTCAACAAACGCTTTATCAACTCAAAGGATTTAAACTGTCAAATTGTCTCTTACTAAAATTATCCAGTTTCATTTTGTTTTCTAAATACCAGCAGGTAATTGCCAAACTCTGTGGTCCAGACTTTGGTGTTAGAGGCTAATATATATTTGACTGAATGCACAGACAGTTTGTATTATGCAAAAGGGGCCCACCTCATTTCCTTCTGACCCCTCCCACACATCTCCAACATTGCAAGTACCACACAGTAGATGGGAAAATATATTCTTCATCTCTTGAAAAGATAATTATAATGTGAAATAAGCAACAGAACCTGGGTGCTATATACAGAGCTTGAAGTCTAACTGAATAACACTATAAAATCAACTGAAATGCTATCAAATCATTCTAGTAAATTATTACAAATAATCATCCTTGACCCTCAATATCCTGCAACCTAAGTCCAGGCCACCACTTGTTTTGTAAACTAAGAGTGAGTTCTACACACCCATGGAGCCCTGAGATGATTCACCGAACAAAGACGCAGTCAGGAGGTTTGGGGGAGGGAGAGGTTAGGAGGAATTTAAAGGTAATAGTGTTTTCACAGGCTGAAGGCAAAACAGGGCTGTGTGCCAAGGGTCAACATTAGGTCTGTGTTGTAGCCCAAGCACAGGTTGGAAAAGAATTTCCAGACATGAGGTAGAATAGTTTATCAGAGTGGGAGATGCTGTTAGAACAGCGGGCCGGCTCAAGGTCGAGCCAAACCCTTTTGCAGGCTAGTAGCCAATTTCTACAGCCTCAAGACAGAAAATTCCTACTGGAATGGGGGCATTAGGTGTTTTGTTAGGATGCTATAGGGTGGATAATAGGGTAGGTATTTTACCTAATATGGGGTCAAGTAACTGGCCGGTTTGATCAGAGGCTCATGGCAACAGTTGCTATGGGGCTTGGTCAGTTTCAGAGATTTTCATCCTGTGACCTTGGTACAGGGCTCCACAATCTGGGCAGCAGAACCAACTGCTGGATCAGGGTCCTATGAACTTGGAGACTAAAAATTATAAGAGATGTGAACGAGTGTGTCCAAAAGCACTTTAAATGAAGTTCTGCACATGGGTTGGAAACTGAGGGTGCTTGTTCATGTCGAAATGACTTGGACCATTCAAGTAGAGCATGATGTTTCATTCTTGCTAATGATTTAAAACAGCAACATTTCTGATAGTCAGTGCTTTTCCAGGAGGTTTCTCCATATGTAATAAAGCAGCAGTCACCTTTAGAAGTGGGTTCCTTGACACATTACAACTTCAGCATTTCTATGGGAAAAATGTGATTTTCTCTTCACTCCCCACTGCCTTCATCTGTGCTATGTCAACCTGATGAATGGCAGAGCAGAAATGTACTTTTTCAGTCTAAGGGACTTTTTAACTGTATCAGAATATATCAGGACTAGAAAGCTTCAAAATATTTTATTTCCACAAGTGTTGGAATTTCAAACATTCTATTACACAACAGATTTTTATGAGGATTTATATAAGCATCTAGGTCACTTTTATAACTTTTTATAGTGGACTTCTATATAAGAGTTAGGTTTTATATTTTAAAGGTTAAGCATCTATGAATATTTGAAGAACACTAGTTTAGTCCAACCCTCTCATTTCATGGAAGAAAAACTAATAACAAAAGCAACCACCACCACCACCACCAGCAGCATTATTTTTATTAGAAGCAACTGAGGCATGCAGTAATTAAATGACTCATTTCAGAGTCCTGGTAACTAATGGCCGGATTGGAAGGGTTCATGTCTGATTGAATTGTTGAAGCTTAAAAAGATGACTTATACCAGTGAAGCTGGCCGTAGGGTAGATCTCACACTCCTGGTCTCTGTTCTTTCCACCATACTACCTTGTTTGCTGAGGTCTGCAGATTCCTAGACCAGTAGCTTTTATAAAAGCTGTCATCCCTACACGTGATCAGAAAGTTCTAGAAATGAGCAGTTTTGAAAATTTTTGAGACAAGTCTCAAGTCTGTTCATCAAAGTTAATGCTGTTGAAATTAACTGCTGAAACAAAACATTTTAAAGTAGTTTTTAAGTTTATTTTTGATGTGGACCACTTTAAAAATCTTTATTGACTTTGTTTCGATATCGCTTTTGTTTGTTTGGCCACGAGGCATGTGGACTCTTAGTTCCCTGACCAGGGAAGGTGAAGTCTTAACCACTGGACTGACTGCCAGGGAAGTCCCCGAAACTGGTTTTAAATGATAGGTAAAACTGAATTTAAATCTACAGGGAATACATTTTCTCAAACACTTATCACCAGTAGGAAGCAGAAAGCTTTATTGGCCTTGGAAAAATGCCACATATTTAAAAACAACATGATTAGAAACGTAGGACACTCAAGACGCTTCTGATAAACTGGGTAACAGGTTTCAAGAACTCATAGAACTAACCAGAGTTAGAACACAGGTGATAAGACTATAAACCTGAGATTGTTTCTGGGTAACTTAAGGTCTCAAGGATAAAAACCTCAAGTGAGAGTTAGCTCTCTAAATTATTTATTGAATATTATTATGTGCCAAGCATGGGTCCAGGGCTTTATATGTGTTTACTCATTTAAACTTTCCAATAAGTCTGTGAAAAAGGGAGTATTATCCACCATTTTAAGGGCTTCCCTGGTTACTTGGTAAAGAATCCACCTGCAATGCTGGAGATGTGGGTTCAATCCCTGGGTCAGGGAAGATCCCCTGGAAAAGGAAATGGCAAACCACTCTAGTATTCTTGCCTGGGAAATACTATGGACAGGGAAACCTGGAGGGTTATAGTCCATGGGGTCACAAAAGAGTTGGACACGACTTAGTGACCAAACCACTACCATCCACCATTTTACAGATGAGGTTCTGAGTTACTTGCTGGGTTGGATTTCTAAGGTGGCCAGGAATCGCCACAAACTGGGTGGCTTGAAGGTGGCTTCTTTACCAAACAAGCCACCTGGGAAGTCCTTAAATCGGTGGATAATGCTACCTTTTTCACAGACTTATTGGAAAGTTTGGCACATAATAGTATTCAAAATCAAACCTGGGTGTTCCCCATCGCACCAGATTCTTTACCGTCTGAGCCAGCAGGGAAGCCCCAAAAGTGGAAGTGAAAGCCGCTCAGTCATGTCTGACTCTTTGTGACCCCATGGGACATACAGTCCATGGAATTCTCCAGGCCAGAATACTGGACAGTCTGTGTCCAATAACAGACAGTTGCTTAGTTGCGTCTCTTTGTGACCCCATGGAATAGTCCATGGAATTCTCCAGGCCAGAATACTGGAGCGGGTAGTCATTCCCTTCTCCAGCAGATCTTTCCAACCCAGGGATCGAACTGGGGCTCCCTCAGTGGATTTTTCACCAGCTGAGCCACCACGAAAGTCTCTAAATAACAGAAATTTGGGACTTAACTGGTGGTCCAGTAGCTAAGACTCAGCGCTCCCAATGTAGGGGGCCTGGGTTTGATCCTTGGTCAGGGAACTAGATCCCACATGCCGTTAACTAAGACCCAGTGCAGTCAAATAAGTAAACAAATACAAATAAATATTTAACTACCAGAAATGTTGTTCTGGAGGCCAGGAGTCTGAAGTCCAGGTGTGGGTGGGGCCGTATTCCTCTGCAGGCTCCAGTGGGAGGCTCCATCCTTGTCTCTTCCAGCTCTAGGGACTCTTGGCCTGCCTTGGCTTCACTCCAGGCTCCGCCTCCATCCTAGGAGGATGCCTTCTTTGCTCTATGTATCTTCTCTCCGTTTGAAAAGATAACAACCATTGGATTCAGGGCCCACCCTAAATCCAGGACGATTTCCTCTCAAGACCCTTCACTAATTTTATCTGTAAGACCTGATTTCCAAATACAGTCACCTTCTGAAATTGTGGGTGGATATGAATTTTAGTGGGGGACACTAGTCGACACTCCCTACACTTGCCTAAGGTCTGTGAGGTTCCAACTTGGGTTAAGGTAGATTCTCCTTCCACATTCAAGTATTATGTCCCCAAAGGCCAACTATTTCTAGATGACCACTGAGAGAGCCACACAGCATAGTTTCCTGAAGACTTAAAAGCTTGCTTCAGGAGAGCCTGCATTGCACACCCCATTGTTCAGCCAACAATCCGAGCTTCCTGAGTTCTTTTCACTCAGCGTCACTCTGGAGCATCACCCCCCCAGCCTCTCCCCCACCTTTTGGGCAGAGCAATTTAGCGACTACTTTCCATTACCTGACTCTCCCATACAGTATCTCATTACCACCAAGGCACCTTATCACAGCTATATTATGAACTCATCCATGGCTCTCTTGAAGAAAGATGAATCGGTGATGTCACACATGTTCCTTTATTTAGAAAGAGAAGTTATTTCAAGTGATGCTGCAATTTACAAAGGAGAGCCCGAGGAGGCCCCTGCGGGGGACCCTAAATCCAGGACGATTTCCTCTCAAGACCCTTCACTAATTTTATCTGTAAGACCTGATTTCCAAATACAGTCACCTTCTGAAATTGTGGGTGGATATGAATTTTAGTGGGGGACACTAGTCGACACTCCCTACACTTGCCTAAGGTCTGTGAGGTTCCAACTTGGGTTAAGGTAGATTCTCCTTCCACATTCAAGTATTATGTCCCCAAAGGCCAACTATTTCTAGATGACCACTGAGAGAGCCACACAGCATAGTTTCCTGAAGACTTAAAAGCTTGCTTCAGGAGAGCCTGCATTGCACACCCCATTGTTCAGCCAACAATCCGAGCTTCCTGAGTTCTTTTCACTCAGCGTCACTCTGGAGCATCACCCCCCCAGCCTCTCCCCCACCTTTTGGGCAGAGCAATTTAGCGACTACTTTCCATTACCTGACTCTCCCATACAGTATCTCGTTACCACCAAGGCACCTTATCACAGCTATATTATGAACTCATCCATGGCTCTCTTGAAGAAAGATGAATCGGTGATGTCACACATGTTCCTTTATTTAGAAAGAGAAGTTATTTCAAGTGATGCTGCAATTTACAAAGGAGAGCCCGAGGAGGCCCCTGCGGGGGGGGGGAGGGGGGTTGGGGGTGGTGGTGGTGGTAACAATGCTCGGTCCCTGATGTCTACACCAGCAAGCCCAACCTGCACACACAGCAAGGGTGGAAGGAACCTGGATTGTAAGCTCCACAGGGCAGGAGTCACCTGTGAGCATGCATCATATCCTCAGCAGCGCGCACTGCCAGTGCACAGTCTGTGCTCAAGAGGATATCTTGAAAAAGATAATAGCATAGAAGTAGAACGAGGGATCCTTGTGATGGGACCCTTCTGTATCTTGACTGTTGTTCAGTTGCTCAGTTGTGTCTGACTCTGAAACCCCATGGACGGTAGCACAGCAGACTTCCGTGTCCTGCACTTTCTCTCGGAGCGTGCTCAAACTCATCCATTGAGTCAGTGATGCCATCCAACCATCTCGTCCTCTGTCGTCCCCTTCTCCTCCCACCTTCAACCTTTCCCAGCCTCAGGGTCTTTTCCAGTGAGTCAGCTCTTCATATCAGGTGGCCAAAGTACTGGAGCTTCAGCTTCAGCATCGGTCCTTCCAGTGAACATTCAGGATTGGTTTCCTTTAGGATGGACTGGCTGGATCTCCTTACAGTCCAGGGGACTCGACTCTACTATAGTGACCACACAAGGCTACCTGGGATAAAATCACACAGCTCTCCCCTCCACTAAAAAGTTTTCCACTGATCTTTCATCTAATGGTTTTATTCACTGCTGATCTTTTCTGCAATCAATTAATTCACTGGGGACAAAAAAAAAAAAAAAAAAATGGTTTTCTAATTGCCATTCTTTCAACATTTATTAGCTTCAATTAGTCAATAGAGAAAAATAATTTTCCCCCACCAGCTATGGCTATTTGGTAACCATGCAATCATGACAGACAGATCAAACCTGTCTGCTGAGAAATCTATACCTTCCTCCAAGTCTAGTCTATCATTTAAGGCAAGTACTGAGTCGAGCACCTCATTACTGGGAGGGAGGTCTTATTATGCCCACATTACAGATGGGAAACTGGAGTTGAAGCAATGTTAAATGACTTGTCTGTGGCATCAAAGCCCTAGAGCCAAGAATGAAGTATAGTTTTTTTCACCTCAAAGTCCAATAGGTGTGAATATGAACATACATGTCCAATACTTTACTCTGGGGCTTGGTCTATTCTGTGATATTTAAGCTCAGTCATTTGAAATAAAATGGAAAGACCATGCTTCAGAAATATGATAGAATCAGAAACCCAAAGAGCCCTGTGAAGGCACAGTGGGCTATGTCTCCATGGTGCAGGTCCTAAGAAATAAATGTAACACTGCATTTAATGGGAAAGAGATGTACAGAGAAAAAATAGCCCCAAACTACCTTCCAGGGTTTCGTGATGTTTACTATCAGGGAGGTGAAGAAGAATTATTCGGACTCTCAGATTTCCCAAACTGGCAACAATCCCGATGCTTGTTCTCATACCGCCCCCACTCCCAACAGAATCCCATACCATGATTGAGCAATAAAAACACAAGTCTAAGAAAAATACCAAAAACGAGGGGGAACCGGGAGACAGATCTCCACTTCAGTCTTGTTAGAAGGGAAACCTAAGAAATAAAGAAGGTGGCTGCCTTAAGAAGGAAAGGAGGAGGAAGAGAGGAACAGCATGGCCCACTTCCAAAATCTGCTGAGATACAAGGCTCCATGAAATGTCAATCAGGCGAATGACTGTTTCCTCTGGGCAGACGGCAGCTGTGATGGAAAGCCTGCGATGGGGCAGTGAGAGCTCGGGGGTTTCCTTCTGCAGGCAGGGCGTCTTGATTTGACACAAGTTTTAGTATCAGTACAAAAGAAAAAAAAATCACGAATAGGCTCTTATAAGAAATGTTTTTCCTTTACTCTCAAAAGACAAGCACTGTTTTAAAGAAAGAAATTTTTAAAAAAATCGAAAAGCATATAGCACACCTATTCTCTCCCAAGCTAAGTGCTATAGGAACATAATGAACAATAAGGCAGCTCCTGCTCCTAAGAGCTCTATAAACTGTTATTGTTGTTTTGGGACCATTTCTGAAAGGTTTGAAACAGCATTTTCTCTTCTGAGGATCTCAAAATCTCGTAGGTTACGATTTACAACTCTATGATGCTCTGCCGCGGACCCCATTCCTCACAAGCGAGTGTTAGACAATCAAATTCATCTCAATGTGATATCTACTCAGCCTGTTTGTTGAACCTGGATGACTCTATTAAGCAGTGCCTACAGCCAAATAGTGGAGGAGGAAATGGCAACCCACACCAGTATTCTTGCCGGGGAAAGCCCATGGATAGAGGAGCCTGGTGGGTTACAGTCCATGGGGTCGAAAAAGAGTTGGACACGACTTAGTGACTAAACAACAACAAAAAAAACCAAATAGAAGCCATGTTCTAGAAAGAATGAATTGGTCACTTTGATTTCAGTTTAAGGAAAGAAGACAAAGAGTCAAACATTGGGTCGCCCAAAATGTTTATTTGAGTTTTTCCATAACATCTTTAGGAAAAACCCAAACAAACATTTGGCCAACCGAGCAACTTGAAAATCATCTATTAAGGAGGCAATATGACGCTTTTATACTGGTTTGTGTAATAATTTCACTGCATAAGAAATTACATAGATTGCATAAATCATGAGGTCAACAGCAAATATAGAAGAATAAAACAAAATGAATATGATTATTCTGACCCAATAAAACAGGATAAATAATCCAATTCTTAAAAATATCACAAACTTCTCAAATGTGGTTCCTTTTGAGAGGAAGTTTACCTCTTGCATTTTTTGGATATGACTGTGGTTCTATGAAGCTAAATGGAAAACTGCTTTCCAGCTAAACATATAAAAACGTAACTTACATAGATGTGTAACCCTCTTAATACTGGATATAACAAAAATAAAGACATCAGGCTGCCTGTTTTTGTCTAAAGCATAGCTTGAATTTTCTATTAAGAGTGACAGTTTATGTAGAATACTACACAATTTTGCATGCTACCAATAGCTCAAGTTGAAGAATCCAAAAAATGTAGGAATGAATTTCTTCCTATGGAAAAAGTGTAAATATATAGATGTTAAAATTTCCACTCTTCATTCAATTATTTGCCCTGTTCAAAACATAAAAATACAAATAAATATTTCCTTACAAATGAAGTACACAGCATATTGTTTGGAAAAAAATGAAAAAGCCAAAAATCTTAATTTACTTGTCATTAAATAAAAATTCCAATATACAGACACACAGGATATTTACATAAAGTATAGGAGTTAGTATGTCACTTTCTGTTCACAGGCAACGTTTAATAGTATGAGTATCTATGCAAGAAGACTCATTCCAAATGCAGGCTTAATTCTGCTGTAAGTCGCTCAAGATAATTTTTTTCTCTTTTTCTTTTTAATTAAAAAAGACTTCAGCCTTGGAATTTCAGAAGTTATGTTTGAGTTGTCTGAAAAAATACAATTTCAATGCAAAAACCACATCAAGCATTCAAGAGTAAACTGCTGGTGCTATAATCTTTTTGCATGTTTTTGTTTTCACAGGAAAAAAAAACAATAAAGCAAACAACATGTAGGACTTTAAATGGTTAAAGGCAAGCACGAGATATGGACAATCTACCTCATGCGCGCGCGCACACACACACACACACACACACACTCAGAAAATGAAGGAGAAAGGATCAGACGTTTTTCTTTTGCATTTGTTCCAGCTTTCTTCTTAGAAGACCATAATTTTCCTTAGTTCCTGATGCTGTTGGGTCAAGCCGCAGAGAGATCTCGTAGTGTTTTTTGGCCAAGTCTAGATGGCCCCAACGATGATACAGCACAGCTAAAACAGCAAGACATCAATTTCATTGGAAAGGTTTCTGAATAACTTGTGGTAGTCCCAACCACTTGCACAAAGAAACAGAACCTCTGTGAGCAGTTTTCCAAAACCATTGTTTAAAACAATAGTGTTTGTACTGCCAACTTTATTTATTGTAATCGTACTCCTTGGTGATTGTCTATTTAACCATTCCCAGTTACTCCCGGGGTTCTGAACCATCTCCCTAGAGCAACATTGTTACATAAAGAAGTAAAAGAAGAGTTCCCTAAGTTTGGTGATGCTGCCCTGAAATTTCCTGGAAGCCAGGCTGGATAGGGCTGGGCTGCCACGCTGCTTAGCACAAAGCCACCACGTAGAAGACCAGCTGTTTTTTTTTAAAAATAATTTTTATTGATTTATTTTTGGCTGTGCCGGGTCCTCCCAGCTGCGAGGGTTTTCCTCTAGTTGCAGTAAGTGGGGGCTACTCTTCGTTGCAGAGCATGGGCTCGTCATGGGCACACATGCGGGGTCTTCCAGGACCAGGGATCAAGCCCCTGTCCCTTGCATTGGCAGGGGGATTCTTTACCACTGAACCAGGGAAGCCCCAAGACCAGCTGTTTAATAAAGATCCCCTTACACCTTTTGGCAACATCATGGCTTGTCTGTTGCCAGCTGGAATTCAGGGCTCTCACATCAAGATCTGACCATAAAGTGATAGTAAAATAAATCTACTTATTAGAATATTAAGCCTCTGATGATAACAACGATCTTCTGAGTAAAATGAACTTTCGATGTGAGCAGTACAGCCAACACTGATGCTTCATCACTTTCTTGCAAGGAGAAGCTACAGAATCTACAAGGAAGAGATGTGGTAGAAAAAATATTCACATGACTGAGCCTTCTAAACATCAACAAGCCTTGTTCTAAAAATCTGAATTACTGGGACTTCCCTGGTGGCCCAGTGGTTAAGGATCTGCCCTGCAGTGCAGCCACGTGCATATGATTCAAACTGAAAATTTTCCTTACCCAAATTGCCATGGTAACTTGCCGTATTTGGATGAGCTTTAATTGCTCTGAGGAACAAAGCTTCGGATTCCTAGAAGATGAAATACATACAAGATAAGGTACCGCAGGCAATGCCAAGGTTTCATGCACAGTTTTATCGCCTATGGTTTTCAAACTTTGCATGTGCTCTTTGTTCCACCAAATCCTCCTTCCAACACTGAGGAGGCCCAGTGGGGCCACACCGTGTTGAAAAGAGGCTGGGAACGGTGACCCACTGCAGGGTGTGATGGAGCAAAGGTGACAGCAGGAGTCAGGACAGTGGCCAAAAAGAGTATGAAATATGCTAAGGACTCTGTCACCTCCCCCCCGGAAGTGGCGGGGGTCCTGCCACATCGAGCAAGCAGCTAGTTCAGGGTGCAGGGGAGGATGAACATAGGTCAAAGGGAAAGTGCTGGGCTCTGAGAACACCTGTGGAAGGGTCACTTCCGGTCAGCATTGGTGAACTCATTTCCAGGATTCTCCAGGTTAGGAGGTGGGGTCTGTGTGACCTTTCCGAAGAACCCACAACCCACTGGGGAACCCAGAAGCAGCCTAGTTAGTTGCAGAATTTGAGCAAAGAGAATGAGGCAGAAACAGCCACAACTGGGTCCGCTCTGCACAGGCAGACTTGCAAAAAATAAACGATACCCTTCGGAAGGTTATCAGTCAGCAAGATCTAGAAATTTAAAAATGTATATTGAAGCTATGAAATTCCCTGAGTATTCAACTCGAAAAGGAGAGAAATGCATGAAATATCTTACTGTGGTGTTGTTATAGAAAATTATACTGATAATGCTATCTCATGAGCTGAAGAGAAGTAAATAACATGGGACAAATGGGAATTAATCAGTACTTCTAGGCCTAGCGTGATCAAAATCACATACAGCCCCTGATTCAGGAAAGAAGTACTTCTCTCATGAAAGGACTAAGACGCTGCTTCTAAAAGTATGTTTTCTGTAACATCTGGGTTAGGAGGCCAGGATGCTGGTTGAAAATGCCCATTTGCTGACCTCACCCAACTGAGCCATGGGGAAGAATAAGCATTTGTGTTTTCACAGGCTCTCTCGGTGGTTCTGACACACAGAATTAAAATCTGAGATCAGTGCCATCGGGATTGGAGTCCCCCTGAGTAGACAGGGAGTTAAGTGCCTTGTGATTCATGGTCTACTGGCCTATCCTGGGAGCCCCGTCACACACAGCTGAACCAGTTTTCATTGGTCAGAAACTTCTAGGGCTTTGCAGGCGATCTGTAACTTCCTGCAGGTGAGGAGAAACCTGGAAACAGGGAGAAGCAATCCTATCCCGCCTTGGACCAGTATTCTTTCTGTGCAGAGACCACCAGCCCCACTGCCAGGACAGCGTCACAGCCCTGTGCCGGGGAGGGGGCTGTGGGCTTCTCCTCCCCTCCCACGTCTGAGCAACAGCGATGATGACCAGAAAGCACGTGGATCTGGGCCACAGATTCATCTCTCCGGCAGCTTCTCCAGGATGCAGGCTGACCAAGCCACACTGGTGTGCGGCTAGCACGGCTCAGGCCCCGTTCTCAACTTAACCGGGCAGAAGTCACACTTATGGTTCCTGCCAGGTGCTGGCACTCCGCGTGAGAAACCACAGCCTGAGGGCCACACACCTTGTATTTCTGGGACTTCCCCAGCACGTTCGCCAAGGAGAACATCAGAGAGTGATCGTTAGGTATTAATTCCAGTGCTTCTCTGCCAACAGCTTCAGCTTGGGCTAAATTACCTATGAGTGAAAAATGGAAAACTCAAAAAACACGTTTGTGCCGTAGTAGTGTTCTAGTTTAATTAACAAGGCTTTTGTGCATTACGTACAATCATGAGTAAACTATGTAATAAAATAAATGTGGAACATGTCACACACACACACACACACACACACACACACAACATAAAACATACACACACGCGCGACCTACCAGCTGCAAAGTCATGGCAGTCCAGCACAGTTTTGATATAATATACTAACAGCTTTGGATTAAATTCTGTCACAGCATGTAAAATCTAATTTTAATTTCCCCCCAGATACCAGGTCTACCCAAATAGGAGAAAACAAGCCTGCAGAATAAGAATATCCCAGCAACCCTTTAATAACTGAGTATTTATAGTACTGAAGTTCACGTTCTACATTTCCTTTAGAAACAAGTGCATTTCTCCCTCTACACTGTACAGATGGGCTGACTAGCTTTAAATTCTGCCAAATGAAAACTATCATTTCTTATGGGATGGTTAGATTTTTTAAACTGGGGAACAGGGAAACTTCCAACTGATCCAGTCTCCCACATGCTAAGAAAACCAGATCATCAAGTTTGTTATCATTGTATCAAAAATAAGGATCTCTGAGGGTAGATTTGAGGGCATCTCCTTTGGATACCATTCATGAACTTTGGAGCATGGACTCAGAACCATCTGTTTCATAAGCCTGGAAGCCATCCTTATTTATTTCTGGGAACCTCCAGCATCTTGCTGCTGCTGCTAAATCACTTCAGTCGTGTCTGACTCTGTGCGACCCCATAGACGTCAGCCCACCAGGCTCCCCTGTCCCTGGGATTCTCCAGGAAAGAACACTGGAGTGGGTTGCCATTTCCTTCCCCAATGCATGAAAGTGAAAAGTGAAAGTGAAGTCGCTCAGTCGTGTCCGACTCTGTGCGACCCCATGGACTACAACCTACCAGGCTCCCCGTCCATGGGGTTCTCCAGGCAAGAGTACTGGAGTGGGGTACCACTGCCTTCTCCCTCCAGCATCCTAGATGATGCCAATTATCACATGACAGGCTTAAGATGAAATGAGATGTTAGCGCACACTGGCCCCATTACTCAACACCACCTCTAAGCAAAGGGTCACTTTCCCAAACATTCATATTCCAGTATGTCAAAGGAAACTCCATATTCCAGATTTTATATTTCCCATGCAATATATTGAACCCTAGTTTCATTAAAAAAAAAAAAACCTAACATACTATTAAAAAAAATCAGCTCTATTCCTTAACTATCCAATGGTGCAGTACTGGGGACTGACTGAATTGCTACTCCGCACCTGTGTTATCGAGGAGTATGATCATGTTATTCCAGGCCAGGCTGTGCTCTGGCTTCAGCACGGTAGCGTTCCTCCACGCATTCAGTGCATCCACGTGACGATTCAGATCTGCATACTGAAAATAAAGCATGGATGCCTGGCAATCAATCAATATTCCAATTCTCTTTTGCTTTCTCTTTCCAAGCTCTAACTAACTCAAAAAAACCAAACTTGTATGTATCAAGCTTCCAAATTTTCATATTAACTCATTTAATTCTCCAAACAATCTCAGGGATGAAGAGAACTATTCCCATTTCACAGATGAAGTAAACTGAGGCACACAAAGAGGAAATAACTTGCCCAAAGTTCCACATATAGAAATGGGAGAGCAGGGAATGGGACCAGGTGGTTTAGCTCCTCAGCCTACAACCTTTTAACTACAACCCATAACTTAGTGATTCCAGGTGTTAAATGATGTTGCAAACCACTGAAAAGAGGTAAGGGAAAAAACAAAATCATTAGTATTTTTCTAGAAAGATTTCATATAGTCTAGGTATTATTTAAGTTATTATTTTAAATGGCAAACAAAACATTTAATGTGATTAAGCTCTATGTGTCAAGCTCACCTTGTGAAGAATGGTCTTCCTGCCTCTATCTAAGCTTCCTATGAAACTGTGAGTGTATCAGACATACTTTATGAAGTCTCTGGAAAAGTCTTAAGCAAGAACATAAACCCCTTTGTCAATCTGGAGCCTGTTTGCCTCCCTCAGGAAGGAGAGAATGATGTACTGCTGTCTTTTGAGAGAGAATGTTAACATTGATAATAGAATACAAAATGGTTAGTTCTCAATTTACATAGTTAATAAAAGCATGCAGAGGGAGAAAGTGATGGGAGTTTGTAGCCGGTGACCCTCTGGTTCTCTCTGAAAGTGAAAGTCACTCAGTTGTGTCTACTCTTTGCAACCCCGTGGACTATACAGTCCGCAGAAGTCTCCAGGCCAGAATATTGGAGTGGGTAGAAATTGACTTCTCCAGGGCATCTTCCCACCCGAGCTCGAACCCAGGTCTCCCACATTGCAGGCGGATTCTTTACCTAGCCCTCTCTAATTCAGTTCAAGTGCACATCTCAACTGAATGAACATGGTTCCTTTAACTCCGCAACAAAGTGCACGTGATGACAATTTATCAGAATTTAAGGCTATTTCCTTATTTACAATCAAGTCTGTCTTTTCCTTAGACAACAGAAACTGTGACTTGCCCTGTGACCCACACAGTAAATAGGTGACATATTATGCCAGAAAAAGAAATGTTGAGTGAATTATGGAAATATCTGTGAATATCCATTTCCTAAAGATGTTGAAATTTCCCACGAGACTCAGGAACTCTAGTTAAAGTACTTTAGCTCTTAAATGAGGAAATATGTAAAGTTAAAAAACTTCTAATAATTTAGGTTGCCTAATTATATCAACATTTAATTTCTTCTTTATATTTGATATTTCACTGATTTCTCAGCCAATTCTCTCCAGCAAGTAAGACGCATTTGAGTTACATGGATAAGACTCATAGGGATTTTCCAGCAAGAGTACTGGAGTGGGTTGCCATTTCCTTCTCCAGGGGATCCTTCTGACCCAGGGATCAAATCTGGGTCTCCCGCATTGTAGGCAGACGCTTCACTGTCTGAGCTACCAGGGAAGTCAGTTATATCAACATTTAATTTCCTCTTTATATTTGATATTCCATTGATTTCTCAGTCAATTCTCTCTAGCAAGTAACATACATTTGAGTCACATGGACAAGATTCATAGTGACATTCGTTCTAAAGCACCCAGGAAAACCAGCATAACTTCGTTACATGAACATTCTTTACGTATTTTATTATTTATTACTATTTATTAAAGAATAACACCAGACTGAACCAGATAACATTTACTCTTATTTTGCCGTGAACTGGCTCAGACAGTATAAAATCTGCCTGTAATGCAGGAGACCCAGCTTTGATCCCTGGGTCAGGAAGATCCCCTGGAGAAGGGAATGGCAACCCAACTCTAGTATTCTTGTATCAAAAATCCCGTGGACAGAGGAGCCTGGTGGGCTATAGTCCATGGGGTCACAAAGAGTGGACACGACTGAGCGACTAACACTTTTACACACTTGCCTTTTATAGCAGCTATACAAAGTGAACAAGCACTTTAAGTGAAACAGAGAAAAATGGTGATTTCACAAGAACTACTCACCCAGAAAGTAAACAGGTAAATGAGCACATTATTTTCCTAATACTTCTATGCTTAGCTTTCTATGCCCTGCAAACTACATTTCCCAGGGTGCTTCGCTACTTGGCTCCTCCCAGTTAAGTCTCTGCCAATAGGAGTCACAAGTGATAATCAGATGGTTGGACAAGGAGTAGCCCTGTCCTCCATTCTTGCTTTCTCCTTCCTTATTATCCTTGGCAGCATCTCTACAGTGGTCATGTCCCCTCCTCCACAGTCCCAGGGCTGGACTGTGGTTGTTCTATCACCATCTCAGTCTTCAGTTCAGTTCAGTTGCTCAGTCGTGCCCGACTCTTTGCGACCCCATGGACTGCAGCACGCCAGGCCTCCCTGTCCATCACCAGCTCCTGGAGTTTACTCAAACTTAAGTCCACTGAGTTGGTGATGCCATCCAACCATCTCATCCTCTGTCATCCTTTTCTCTTCCTGCCTTCAATCTTTCCCACCATCAGGGTCTTTTCCAGTGAGTCAGCTCTTGGCATTAGGTAGCCAAAGCATTGGAGCTTCAGCTTCAGCATCAGTCCTTCCAATGAACACTCAGGACTGATTTCCTTTAGGATGGACTGGTAGGATCTCCTTGCAGTCCAAGGGACTCTCAAGAGTCTTCTCCAACACCACAGTTCAAAAGCATCAATTCTTCAGTGCTCAGCTTTCTTTACAGTCCAACTCTCACATCTCACATCTCAGTCTTCAGGTGATGGTAATTCCTGAGATGTGTTGCTTTCCATGAGCTCTTAAATTTTGGGGGCACCACCTCATCCCGTTTGTCCCCCTAACCCCAACGTGGTTTCCTTTTACTCCCTGAGTTAATATCATCTTTCCACAAGTGTTTTTCCAACAAATGCATAACCCGTTCCTTGTACTTAATCTTCTCTAACATACTTAGTATGGTTTTGGCTTTCCTGAATGGGTCCTGATTGATACAGTCAGTCTTTGCACAATGAACTGTGTCCAGTCACCATTACCACGGTTGTCTCATATCAGTGATGTGTCCCAAATAAGGGCTTCCCTGGTGACTAAGACTGTAAAGAATCTGCCTGCAATGCAGGAGACCAGGGTCCCAAATAATCCAGCTCCTTCTCATTTCCTATGTCACATGAGAACTGCATTATATTCCCTTCTTATCTGGATCCAGGCATCAAAACACATTTCTGTCCCCACTACTAAAGAGTGACTAAGGAGGATTTTTTTCCCAAACAGAAACTCTTACGTTAAGTCCTTATTATTTGCTATTATATAAATATACTGGTTGAGCTTTTAAAGATTAAGCTCTTAATGCTTTTAAGCTGTCAAGCAGGCAAAAGCTAGATAATTAAACCACAATAGAGGACAAAATCTTTAAATAAGCAAGAACAGTTGGCAGGAGAGAATGCAGGAAGATTACTTCATGGTAGCATAATTAGTAAACAATATACAGAGAGTGGCATAAGGTCTTCATACAGTTAAGACTACAGATGATCTACGTGAGAGTGCGGATGAGTTCCAGGGCCTGGAGCACATTGCTAGAAACCTCTAGTTTATATTCTATCTTCCTTTCTTTGAACGTTAACTTGGCTCATTTACCATAAATTCTCAATTTCCCAAACCCCAAGGAATTGCAGCGACTGGCAGCTACTGCAGAAAGGAAGAAGACTGCTAAGTATTAGAGCTTTATAGTATTAACCCAGGACTCCAGGCAGATACACTCACTTCACAAACAATAATGAGAAAAAAGAGCTGCTTCCAAAAAAGAGGAATAAAAAGGAATAAAAAAAGAATTCAACAGGGGCTGGGGGAGCAACGGATTGGGAGTTTGGAACTAGCATATACAAACTATTATATAGAGAGTGGGTAAACAACAAGGTCCTCTTGTACTGCACAGGGAACTACATTCAATATTCTGTAATAAACCATAGTGGGGGGGAAAAAAACAAAGAAGAATTCATGTGGATCTCAAGAATACCATGTCAATGCAAGTCCAGGTATAGGCACAGTAAACAGTAATCTCTGCCATAACCACCAAGGCAGGTATTTGGATAACAGCCAACTTGTTTCCAGACCTCCTTCTCACTTCATGAACTTTGTAAGAATCTACCCTGCGTTACAAGTGATTGGATTTTCTGGTCTTTACTGATATCATTACAGAGAAGTTGTATTGTCTGTCCCGTCTCCAAGAAAACAATACAGAGGACCAGAATATGTGTGTGTGAGTGTGTGAGAGTTAGTCGCTCAGTCGTGTCTGACTCTTTGTGACCCATGGACTGTAGCCCACCAGGGTTCTCTGTCCACGGAATTTTTCAGGCAAGAATACTGGAGTGGGTTAGTAACCAAAATTTCCATTAAATAATCTCAAAGCCCTTTTGTGGGCTCCTGAGCTTTCTTTTATGGGGGTGAGGGGTGGTTCCCTGTAAAAACACAGGGAACCATCCCTTGAGACAGGAGAAAAGGAAAGCTCAGAAATCACATTATGGGTTTGTTTTTTTAATTTCAGTTTTTATCCGTGTTTTAAAAAACAGAGGAGCCAATGTTTATCAGGAAGTAACCCCTTGGAACACTGTTTTACAGGGCACAAAAGGACTTTAAAAATTGTAATTTACTCCTTAGTTTAACCTGTTGCCTTTATGATCTCTTAAAACTTGGCTAATTCGAGTTGGCTTGCTCTCTAATTAGAGCTTTAAAAAAAACTCCCACATATTAGGAAATCAAATAGCTGCCTTCAACTGAGATAAACGTACGTGAAAGGACTTCATAAGATGTAGAGGGCAAGAATGGGTGTTACTATTCTCATTTTTTTTTTTAGTGTCTTTTAAAGAAATTACTTATTTATTTTTGGCTGTGCGGGGTCTCTGTTGATGCTAAGCCTTTTCTCTAGCTGCGGTGAGTGTGGGCTTCTCACTGCCATGCCTTCTGTTGCCCAGCACAGGCTCCCGGGTGAGCGGGCTTCAGTAGCTGTGGTTCCCGGGCTCTAGAGCTCAGGGCTCAGCAGAAGCGGCAACTAAGCAAGCTGCCCTGTGGCATGTCAGATCTTCCCTGACCAGGGATCAAACCCATGTCCCCTGCACTGCCAGATGGATTCCTATCCACTGGGCCACCAGGGAAGTCACCCGTTCTATTTTTTTCACTTGAATGAATTTAATCAGTTTTGCTTTTAAAATCCCACCTGAAGGAATAAAATATTTTAAATGACCTGATCACTTTCTTCTGCCTGGTGACGGTCAATCCTATAAGGCTGGACTAGGTTCTTCCTGATCAATCTCTGTTTTCCCCCAAAGTACCTATGATATAGTGCTACATAAAGAATCTGCCTGCAATGCGGGAGACCTGGGTTCCATCCCTGGGTTGGGAAGATTCCCTGGAGACGGGAAAGGCTAACCACTCCAGTATTCTGGCCTGGAGAATCACATGGACTGTATAGTCCATGGAATCACAAAGAGTCGGACATGACTGAGCGACTTTCACTTCACTAAGAGGGCAAGTACCAAACAGACATTACAATGATAACGGTATAAAGAGGGAAACAAAACCATGCTTTTCTTCCGCAGCCACAGGAACCTTACCAAAGGTTGGGTAAGCTTACCAAACGCCCCAGGTTGTAGTAACAATCTGGGTATTTCCTCCGGTGCTTGATCGCCGTCCGGTAACTTTGCTCAGCAGCTTGGAACCGCTTCAGGCTGTTTTGTACGATGCCTAAATTCATCCATGCGGCAGCAAAGTCTGGCCTGGAAGGTGAATGAGGAAAAGAAAGCATCAGCCCCCAGGAGACAGGGGTGCCCATCCTCGCCGTGAACACAATTATAAGAGGACACTTACTGTATCTGTACAGCCAAAGAAAGCAGCTCCTCCGCTTCCTGAAGCTCGTTCCTTTCTTTCAGGATGTTTCCCAGATTATTCATGGCATGGACATACTTGGGATTTAATCTGGAAGTGGAGAGAGAAACCAGGCCCGCAGTCTTCACCCAGTTCTCAGGCACTGGCAAACCTAAAGTTGGGGTCCTCGTGGGGACAGGTTTTTAGCACTAGAAAGTTACAATAAGACATGGATACAGTAAAAATGGCATGTCTTCTGCGAGATAAGCCGCTTGCAGTACCTCACTGCTTCCCGGTAGTATCTGATGGCCGCAGTCTGATTGCCTTTATCAGCCAGGTTTTTGCCAACGTTGTAGTGAACCTGAAAAGAGAGGAAAAACTTGGTTGGCAGCTGTCAGGCTTCTTTGTTCTGACCTGAGAGGCCCATCATACCTTCTAACTGAAAACAAAGGATTGTTGTTGTTGTTTAGTTGCTCCGTTGTGTTCAACTTTTTGGCGACTCCATGGTTGCTCACCCCACTGTAGCCCACCAGGCTCCTCCATCCATGAGATTTCCCAGGCAGGAACACTGGAGTGGGTTACCATTTCCTTCTCTGGGCGATCTTCCTGACCCAGGAACTGAACCCATGTCTCCTGCATCTCCTTCCTGCATTGGCAGGTGGATTCTTTACCGCTGAGCCACCAGGGAAACCCATCAAAAGTATTTCTCCATCATCAAATGTTCCCTTTGGAGGTGTACAATGTAAAGGCTAACAGAAGCCTCAGAGGAGATGATGCTACAGAAACATACCCACCTGGGTGAGTGCTGTGTGATGCTAATGACAGTAACCCTGGCGGCTGGTGGGTGCTGACGCGCTGCTTTGGCGTCACTGAGCGTCTTACCCAAAGCTGTGGTGCTGGATTTCAACTGAGGCTCCAAAGCCTATGTTTCTTCTCCCTGCATCACACCCATTTTTGAGGGGGCCAGGCAAAGACGGGCTGGCTGCTCAAGGCAATTTCTAGACCCACTCACTCACCCTGCTATTTCTCTTCAGGTAAGATAATGTTTCTTTGGGGTGTTAAGGGCGGCATCATTGTACCACAAAACTCATGTTGCAGTCCTAGCCACTAGTACCCCAAAATGTGACTGAATTGAAAGGCGGGGTCTTTAAAGAGGTCCTTAAGATGAAACGAGCTTCTTGGGGCCCTGATCCAATCTGAATGGTGTCCTTAGAAGAGGAGGAAATGGCGACATACAATGAAACACGAGGGATGCCCACACACAGAGGAGAGACCACAGGAAGACCACGTGAGGGTTTAGCAAGGAGTCCGTGAGCCAAGGACAAAGGCCTCAGGAGAAACCAGCCCTTCTGATGCCTTGGTCTTGGACTTCTGGCCTCCAGAGCAGTGAGAAAATAAAATTCTGTTGTTTTATGCCACGCAGTCCACGGTATTTTGCTATGGTAGCCCTAGTGGACTGATGTAAGGGTTTCCAAGGTGGCTCAGTTGTAAAGCATCCTCCTGTCCATGCAAGAGACACAGGTTCAATCCCTGGGTTGGGAAGATCTCCTGAAGGAGAAAATTCCAACCCACTCTGGTATTCCTGCCAGGAGAATCCCACGGTGAGGACCCTAGTGGGTCCCAGTTCACAAGGTGGCAAAGGGATTGGTTGCAAAGAGTTGGGGGTGGGGGAAGCAGAGGATGAGATGGTTAGATAGCATCATTGATTCATTCAATGGACATGATTTTGAGCAAACTCCAGGAGACAGTGGAGGACAGAAGAGTCTGGTGTGCTGCAGTCCATGGGGTCACAAAGAGTAGGACACAACTTAGCAACTGAACAATGACAATGGACTGACATATGGTGAATTACAATAATGGTTTGTATACAGTCTAGTAGCATTATATCTGAACATTCAAAACCCCTTCTAAAAGTATACCCACATCTTGCCTTATCAATCTTCTTCAAAATATACTAATATTTCTAGAAGGGTATAGAACAGTGCAATATTCTTTAAGCACACATGTAGCAGAGATTTGTTTTTTAACTCCCAATTTTAAAGTCTATATTTCTATTTTTACTTCCTCAGACACAAGGAATCACAAAACAGGAAAATCATGGGTGACAGAAATGTGTAATATTGTGCAGCACACTATATAATTTAAACTCCCCGAACCAAATTACTGTCTATCCATAGGTATTACCATCTTCAAGTTACAGCTTGGAGGAGGCTATGGCTGGATCATGGGTTTGGAAAAGTGCATTCTAAATGGTTTGATTTTGTGCTTGTCTCAGCCCCAGCCTGGAAGTGTTAACTTCACTCCTGTCCCGCACACGAAGGGAGACTCCAACCTGTGAATGTGGACGTGCCTGTGGTCTCCAGAATACAAACACAGCTCCTACACAGACTTCAACTCAGCGAGCTCCTGCCACTTCCTGGGAAATTCTCTTTTCTCAATCAAATGCTCAGACAAAGAGCTGAACTGCCCTCTGCAGTAGAGCCACTGTTCTGTTAGACCCGAAGCCACAGACCAGGAGATCAGCGGAGGGAGGAGGGCACCTCTGCAGAATCAGACTGCAGTGCAGTCAGTGGAACCAGTTAAAGATCAGAGAGCCCCCTAGAAGGCAATTGGCCCATAATTACGACTAGAGAACAGGCTTACCCAGAGGCCAGTCTTATCCTATGGGTTATATGCAGGGAAATATTTGAACAGAAAACCCACTTGAAAAACCAAAGCAAAATGCTCAGAAACAGTTTACTTAAAATAGAGTTTAAAGAATGATTTTTGTTTCCATGGAATGTAAAGGACTGAAAAAGCCTGTTGATCCTTGACCCTCCCCTCCAGCCTTTGTGATTCATACGCCAAGGCAACGAACCAGCACAGAAGCCACAGATAAGACCCACAGTCAAGGACATGTAACTATGCATTCAACACAGTGCTAAAACCACGGTTTCAAATTTTCTGTCAACACTTGATGTTAAAATGTTTTAAACACGTAAAAGTCCTATCACCCATCCTGCCTCATCCTTAAGGGAATACCTCATTGTGGTAAATGATCCCTTTCATTGCTAAACAAACTTAGCATTGCATCCCAGGATTGATATAAAACGCCACATACTTTCAGGCCTCGGAAACGAAGAATGGCTGCAGTATAATCAGATACTTGGTATCTCATCCATAGTAGGAATTTAATTTCTGTTTGGCTCAATTCAATCACTAACATTGAGTTCTTACCAGATGCAAGGCACTGTGGGTAATTCCAATGCCCGACCAGGCTCGGCACCGAGTCGCCTCTGTAAATCTGGGCCTGGTTGGCAGCACAGTTGCCAACTGCTAAGTTAACAGTCAAAGGATGGAAAGTGGAACGAGTGCAGCAAATGCTGCACTCTCCTGCAATAGAGTCAAATGAAATCATCCTAAAGGAGATCTCTTCCCTGAAATCAACCTAGCTTTCCCCCCCTGCCCAAAAAAAAAAGTGTAGATAGTTTTAATACACTTCAATTTAATAGTGCCAAGTAAAACAACAACAAAAACCCCAAAACAAACAAACAAAAAACCAACTCTGTCTTGCTCATACTAAATGTGCTTAGCTGCTCAGTTGTGTCTGACTTTTTATGACCCCATGGACTGCAGCCCGCCAGGCTCCTCTGTCCACAGGGATCCTCCAGGCAAGAATACTGGAGCAGGTTGCCATGCCCTCCTCCAGGGGATCTTCCCAAACCAGGGATTGAACCCAGGTCTCCCGCATTGCAGGCAGATTCTTTACCTTCTGAGCCACCAGGGAAGCCCTATACTGAATGGCATCACTAAAAAATGTTCCTGGAAAGGCTTGTCACTATCGGCTGACACTTTGAAGATGAGATCTTATGTGTATGTTTTAAATTTAAAGGAGAAAACTACATACACAGACACACAGTTGTGTGCCTGTCTGTCTGCACAGCCCCCCTGAGTTTTGTAGCCTGTAATATATGACATCACTCACACTGTGTAGGCTCACACATCACATGGTCCCATCCCCGCTTGTTCCCCAGGGTAACCTGGGTGCAGCACTGCCCCAGGTATCTACCTACCACCTGAGCTACTGACCCAGACACCGTCAGCTCCATCTTTCTGTGCTTCAGTTTCTCCCATTTGGAAAATTACAGAACATAATAATCGCTCTCTAAAAACCTTGGAGGGAGGATAATGGAAATTAATGGCAGAGCCTCTACAAAGAAATCTGAGTTCCTTCTGGGGAAGAAGTACATAAGTAGAAGGGGTAATTACTGCTATTCAAACAGAAAAGTAAAAACAAAGCAAATCTATTAAAATTTATGAAATTAAATCACTGGCTGATTTACTTTCAGTAGCATAACATAAATGTCTAGGTCAGCAAATCAAATCGACAATAAAAGGTTGAAGCAATTCACTCTTTTATCTAAGCCTCTTAACTATAGAACATGAACAAGTTTTTTTAAACCAAGGAAAAGATAAACAGGGAGTCAACATGTTTTATATGATACTATCCTTCACTCCAGGGTCACAGTAAGACATCAACTATTCATTAGATTTCTTCATATAGTTTTGCTTGAAATCACTTCTTTCTCTTAAACATAGAATGTGGAAATGAGATAGAACTTCATGGTGCTTTTATTGCCCCTGCTCCAAAGAGGATGGCTTTTGGGCATCTGAGGAAGTTCCGATCCTGAGGACACCAGAAGACACCATTATTAATCACATAATGATCTATGCATGCTAAGTCGCTTCAGTCGTGTCTGACTCTTTGAGACCCTATGGACTGTAGCCCACCAGGGTCCTCTGTCCCTGGGATTCTCCAGGCAAGAATACTGGAGTGGGTCGCCATGCCATCCCTCCAGGGTATGTTCCTAACCCAGGGATTGAACCCCCAAGTCTCTTATGTCTCCTGGGTTGGCAGGAGGGCTCTTCACCACTAGCGCCACCTGCCTGCTACTGCTAAGTCACTTCAGTCGTGTCGGACTCTGTGACCCCATAGACGGCAGCCCACCAGGCTCCAATGTCCCTGGGATTCTTCAGGCAAGAACGATGGAGTGGGTTGCCATTTCCTTCTCCGAAGCCCTAAGAGAAAACATTCTCACTCAGCTCCTTGGCTTCCCATTTTGAGCAAGTATCATTCCCTTCTTTTCATTTAATGGGACAGCCAAAACTAAAAGGAGCCTAAGAAAACAAGTATTTCTTGAGCACCTACTGTGTTCTAAGTACCGCATCAGGGCACTTCAGAGGCCACGTTCATGAAGGCCTCATGACAAGCCCAGGGGACAGCCATGGCCCCCCTCCTTGCTACAGATAAGGGCGTTCAATGTTCAAAACAGTTTTGCCCAAAGATGCACAGCTGGGTAAGCGAAGAGATGGAGTTCATCAAGGATACAAGTGAAACAAATTCCTACCAGACCATGTCAACAAGAACACTCCCAATTTTAGAGTCTATGCATTCTATTTTTACCTAATCTGGCAAAAACAATTCCAGGCAGAGAAGCCACAGGTGATGGAAACGTGCGTACCGCACACCACAGAACATCCTTTAAATTCCTAAACCAAACTGCTGTCCACTGGGAGGTGTTATCATCTTCCAGTTATAGATTGGAGGAGGCCAGAGAGCATGTTTCAAAAAGTGTGCTCTAAGAGGTTTGACTGTGGGCCTCCCCAGACCTGAGCCTGAATGCGTGGAGTTGCCCACCCTGCCACCACCTGATCCACAATCGGACCAACTGAAAGATGAGTAGAAACGTGTTTAAGAAATCTGCTGTTTCCCTGACACTGTCTGGTTTTAATGATTTCTTTTTAATTATTTTGGCTAAAGTGTAATTGTAATAAGCTTTGTCAAGATCGTGTTAAGAAAAAAAAAAAAGAATGAAAAAGAAAACCTCCAAGTCTATGACCAAGGTCATATTCTGGATTCTCCTCACTCAGTTGTCGAACTTCTTAAAAATGTGGCAGCCAACATACCTTGGCATTGAGAGGGCACACAGACAGGGCGCTTCGGAAAAGCTGGTCTTCGCTCCGCCACTCACCGCTGCGAACCACGCATCTCAGCGTGTTTAGGAATAAAATTCCCAGGATGAGAGCGGCAATCAGTTTCTTAAGAAGAGAGGGACACGGGAAATGTCATTAGTAAAACCCACCCATCGTCTTGGTCAAGAACGGCGCCCACCTCGCTGGGCCAATACCTTTTTCTTGGTATGTTTACTGAGCACTGCGAGTCCAAACGTCAGCAGCATGCAGTAGCCGGCACTGGGGAGGTACAAGACCCTCTCAGCCACCACAAAGCCCACTCGGAAGAACAGGTTACTCGCAGGAAGAAACGGGATAATGAGGAATCCCAGGCCCAGCGTGAGGATCCTGGAAGATGAGAAGTAGTTAAAATGGCTACTTTTAGAATTCTTAAGAAAAATATTCTATTCTACATGAAATCCACAATAAAGATGCCCCTTCCCTTTTTTTTCTTTTTTTTTTTTCATGCCAGCAGTTAAGAGGAGGCATCAGTAGAGAGGGTCTAACCTAGTACCATCAGGATAAGACAGAAAAATCTTACTAAGGCTACTTAGCATCGAGCATGAGGATAAATTTTAGAAGTCCTCAAATTCACATAAATAAAGTTAGAATGATTACTTAGAGCAGTCTTATAAACTTGCCTGCTTCTAACTATACCTCAAACTGTGTAGGTGTCAAATAGCTCAACACCTACAATATCCCAATTGGGCTAATTGGGATATTGGTCCCAGTTAGTCCGATTTAGTCCCCTGACATTTAACAGGATGTAATGTCATTTAACTAGTTTAAACTTTACAAGACCTGAAATAAACTTGTATCATTTGGGGATGCTCCAGCATAAATTTCAGTTGAGCAAAAAGAAAGCTGAGAGCAATGGGACACTTGTGGAAGCAGGTAAGCATTCCCAGAGTCCCACATGATGTAAGTGGGTGAATCAGAGGCTGGGTCAAACAACAAGGTCCTTCTGCACAGCACACAGAACTATATTCAAAATCCTGCAATAAATCGTAATGGAGAATACGGAAAAGAACACATATATGTATAAACTGAGCCACTTTGCTGCAAAGCAGAAACTAAACACAACGTTGTAACTAAACTACACTCCAATAAAATTAAAAACCAAACAAAAGAAGCCTGGTCAAATTTGATAGCTCCTTCCCACAAACCTGTGCGTATAGTGTTAGAAAAATCCTACTGGCGCATGCACAGCAAATTGGGACAGAGCTTTGTCACCCTTTAGAATTATGAACCAATTGAAGGGACAGGGTAAACTCAAAACTGCATTTATTTTGAGAAATTACTCATCTAATTCCAGAAACACTTATGCCTAAAGGAAATCATCTTAAATAGTTTTCTCTTCCACAAAACATGTTTTTCTCCCAATTATTTTCTCAATAATCTTCCCTCCCCCCGCACCCTGCTTTTTTTGGTGAGAAGTAAGAGTCTCTTTGGGGTGGCAGCTTATTTTGTACAAATAACAAGAGAAGGCATCGATGTCGCATCCACCAGGGCTTTCTGAAGGGGAATTGTGAAATGACGGGCACAACACACATCAATTACACTCTCCGTCTGGACCATAAATTACTCTTTACCACCTACGGCGAGAAGGATGTCAAAATGCTACTTCATGGCGGGGGGGGGAGGGGGGGGTGGGCAGGGATGAAGCAGCCATTGGGCGCCCCCTCCAGTCCACTCCCCACGAGTTGAAGCCAGCCATGGATTCCAAGTGGACAGGTGGACAGAACTCATCCTGCCCAGACATGTGCATCTGTACTGAAATACCTGTCCTTAGACAGGACTTGCACAAAATCGTTAATGATGATCTGCGGTGCTGGATTTAGCAACATGCTCGGACTCCACCCAGTATGGAAGTTAAAATTCAGCTCGGCCTCTTACCTTCTCTTGTGGTTGTCTTCAGAGCACAGGGCTTGGCATATCAGGCCAATTAGGCAGAACCAGAGTGCTGCTAGAGCAATTACCCTCCAGTCCCCGACGGACTTAATGAGGGGGATGCAACCCATCGACCAATCAAAACACAGCCACCAAGGGCACAGCAGCAGCCAGGCATTCAATGAATAGTAGTAATTATAGTTTATGGCCTGCCAGTCAAAGGAAAAACAAACATTTATTTGATACTGAACTTGGGAAAAAAATACATATATATGTGTGTGTGTGTGTGTGTGTGTGTATGTATATATATACACATATATATAGCCTAGCTTCCCTTTGGAGGCCTTCATGTTTCTGCTCAAGGAGCCCAGCCATATAAAACAAAATGTTGCCACTTTCTGCTCTGGGCACTGGGCTGAAGTGTGCAGTTGACTAAACGCATTGAGATTTTTTTTTTTAATAGATAAAAAATACAGCAAACCCAACAGACTCTGCTTTACATTTGTTATATTTCTGGGGACAGTATATCCCAGTTACTCACTGATGCCCCAAGTCTGTGACCCAGGAAATCTGTGGTCCAGAGGTCACCCATGTGCCTGACAATATAAGCATGGGGTTCTATGGTCTTTGATTTCCGTTTGTATGAAATGCACAGCTAAGACACCCTTGCCTTCAGAAGAAGCAAACCTTGACAAGAAAGTCTGGATGGCGTTAAGACTTTTAAAGACACCACCAGTAGGGACTTCCCTGGTGGTACAGTAGGTAAGAATCCACCTGCCAATGCAGGGGACACGGGTTCGATCCCTTGTCTGGGAAGATCCCACATGCCTCGGAGCAATGAAGCCTGCGCAGTTACTGAAGCCTGCGCACTTACAGCCGGGGCTCCGTCACGAGAGAAACCACCAAAATGAGAAGCCCGGGCACCCAACTAGAGAGTAGCCCCGGCTTGCTGCAACTAGAGAAAGCCTGCACAAAACAACAAAGACTCAGTGCAGCCAAAAATAAACAAAACACTTTTAAAAAGTTGTGTTAAAGAAAAAAAAGACACCGTCAATATGTTATATTTTATCTTAACCTCAACACGTCAATTTCCATTATACCAAAAGTAGGTTAGGGGACAATTTAAGGAGTCTGGCAAGAAATAGGACATTTTCTAAACCTTTCCTCTTGATTTTGTTTAGAGTGAAAGTGAAAATAGTAGTTGCTCAGTCTGTGTCTGACTCTTTGTGATCCCATGGACTGTAGCCCACTGGGCTCCTTGGTCCATGGAATTCTCCAGGCAAGGATTCTGGAGTGGGTTGCCATTTCCTTCTCCAGGGGATCTTCCTGACCCAGGGATCGAACCTCAGTCTCCTGCACTGCAGGCAGATTTTTTTACCGTCTGAGTCACAAGGAAATGCAAAGAGTTTATACCCTCTCAAAGCCCTGATAAAAACCTGGTTTAACCCTAGAACGTCCTCAGTGAATGGAAATACCTGTGGAGGTATTCTGATTAACAGGGGCTTTTGTGGGTATGTTGGGGAGGGAGGTGAGGAGGAGGAGGGAGGGAAGACCTGGGGATCTGGTGGGCAAAGATGACCCAGCAGAGGACGGACGCGGGACTCACCCTGACTAGCATGCTGTCGGCGAAGGAGGCAGGGTTGTCCACCTCGGTGAAGGCGGGCGGGCCAGTGCCCATGATCTTCCAGCGCACGTACAGCACCCCAGCTCCCCCAAAAGCCAGGAGGGTCATTCTGAAGAGGAGGCCCCCCGTCCGGAGCACACCAGGGCTCTGAAAGGATAGCGCAAGGCCCCCAGTGTTGAGGATTTTTCAAATAAAAGTGTGGCCAAGCCAGGTATAAACGTGCAGCAATTCTGGCTGAACCTCACTGACACTGGGCTTTAAAAGGCTGCCTGTTTTAGAACTCAAAGTTGCAAGAAGTACTTTGAAAATGGTATTTTAAACCAGTGGGTATGTGACATTTTCCACGTCTTGGCTGGAGACAAAAGCAGATACTCACCTCTAATGATCTGTCTTTACGGAGGAACTTCTGGACAATTTCCAGGACATTTAATTTGCCTATCACCAAGATGTCGAAGACGGCATTGAGACCCTAAAAAAGCAAAGCAAGGAATCAGCCTTGGGACAGCCTAACTCTGATCAGGTAGCCAGGATACGTCACAATTCTATTGCTGAATTTAGACGAGAAATGTCCTGGATTAGATCACCGTAGATAATCTCTTAAGCTCTAAAAACAAAACAAATCCTACTGTTTCTATGAAATTAGCTCATGATATTTGCATCAAATTTACTTCTTTATTTCTTTAATTCTTGGTTGCACTGGGTCTTTGATGCTACGCACAGGTTTTCTTTAGTTGTGGTGAGTTGCAGTGTGTGGGCTCCTCATTGCGCTGGCTTCTCTCGTTGCAGAGCACAGGCTCAATAGTTGTGATGCACAGGCTTAGTTGCCTGTAGCATGTGGAATCTTCCCGGACCAGGGATTGAACCTGTGTCCTGTGCATTGGCAGGCTGATTCTTTACCCCTGGACTACCAAGAAAGTCCCATCAGATTTGTCATCTAGTAAATCCCCTGTTAGTCACAGTTTCATAGCCTGCATACAAGAGTATGATAAGATGAAGGAGAGCTAGAGCCTTGGGGTTCCTGGAGAAGTTCCGCAGAGGCCCCCCTTTCATTTTTTACCCCTAAAACAGTCCTGGAGTTGTAGCAGAGCCAAAACCGGTGCAGTGGCCATGCCTAAGATGATAAGGCAGCCAGCAATCTTGAAAACCCAGCCATGTAAGTAATTACACTTCAGGAACCTGGGGAGCTGCCTGATGAGGGCATATGCCCTGGAAGAGAGGGGACAGAACATACAGACTCTGTGGGGCTGCAGAGACATCCCAGACTCAGACTCTTGGTCACCCACCAGCTCTCCCTTCCTGCCCGGCACGCAGCCAGCCCCGCAGGGGAGTGCGGTCATGTGACTGAGTTCCAGTCAATGGGATGTGGGCAGAAGCAATACCGCAGCTCTTGGAGGTTTGGTCACAGACCAGAGCACGTGCCACCCTGGGTTTCCCATCCAGCTGGCTGTGGAGGAGATGATGGAGGTGTCTGGAGTGGCACTGGAAACCGCACCCTGAGGACGGCAGAGCCCCACTGTGTGGAGGATGGCCACCTCTGCCCAAGACTTTTATTGGGATGACCAGTAATTCCAAGTATGCAAAACCCCTGGCCCTTGGATGTGTGATATTGCAGCTGCACTGATGCTAACAGCTTCCAGCAGCATCACCATAGGTCCTTTCTAGTAGATATGGCTGTTCTTAAAGCTCTGACGCCTGTGCTTACAAGCGGAGGCTCATCTAGTCTTGGACTCCACCCTTTACCCTGCAGTGGACTTTCCATAAACGTGGGTGCTGTAGAGAACGCCATGCAGCTGAACCCCCTGTTGGAACCAGGCAGAGCGGTCAGAACATACACTGTGTGGATGGTTCAAGCTGCCCTTTGAAGATGTGGGGCCTTCGAACACAGAGCTTCCTGGCAAAGACGATCGATCGTAAGTTGTCAGAAGCCAGTGGTAATTTGTGGTTTTCAGCGCAAGGGTGACATCTCTCCTCAGCCCCCTCCCATACATGCTGGGAGCCATTAATTATCCAGTACACGGGCCAGCGCTGGGTTAATCACTTCACAGAATGCTCATTTTATTCACCCGTGTGATGCATGATTTTACTGGGTCAGAGAGGATCATTTCTGCCTGGGTGTGAACCATTTTCTAGAAGGCAGGAAGCTCCCTGTTGAGCGGCGTTGTCTTCTTATGCCATGTGTTCTTCTGCCTGTGAGCTATAGGACAGTCACCCAGAGGTGACACGGTCAGGCTGTCATGAGGACTGAGCACTCTCAGTCTCAGACACCAGTCTGGCACTCTCTCTCCCTTCCCATTTAAATCCATCATCAAAATGGCCACATTCTAGTCAGACTTCTGGAAACCTGCTCAACATGACCGTATCTGCATGAAAATTCAACCGAATTTTTTAGCGCTCTTCTTAACGGAGGTGGTAGTCACCTGGGAGCCTTGTGAAATGGAGGTGCTGATTCAGCAGGCCTGCGGTGGGGGTCTGAGACCCTAAATCTCTAAATAAGCTCCCAGATGGTGTCAACGCCACTGGTCCTCAAGCCATACTTTGAGACAAGCAAGACTTCAGGACGGCAGTTCTCACAGAATGATTTTCACCCCCTACCAGGGGGGTGTGCGTGGCAATGTCTGGAGACATTTGAGGTTGTCACAACTGAGGGAGGGGGTGTCCTTCTGGCATCTAGCGGGAGACCAGGGATGTTGCCAAATACCTTACAGTGCACAGGACATGCCCCAAAGAAAGAATGATTCAGCCTCAAATGCCAATAATGCCAAGGTTCAGAGTCAGTGGCTTAGAGCAAACTTTTAAAAAAGTAACTCCTGAGGTTCTAGTATCTTTGCACAGTAATTCTTTCTATACCGTTTCCTAGCTAGCTGACCTTAATCATATGGATCGAATCCAATAAAACCATTTATCTTTGCCTTGACTGGTGTCCAGCCCCAAAGAGCTTAGACCTGGGAAAGGAAGATCCTTTGCCACGGCTTCCTGTATGGGCCCTGCACACCCCACATCTCTGTTTTCCATTTGTCTACCTCTCTTCACATCTCTAATGTCTCAGTTTCCCTCTGATAACGTAAGGCAGAAAATTAGCTAGAACAGAGGAAAAGAGTGCATTTCCACGCCTCTCCCTTCCAGGGGCTTCTACTCAGATCAGACATAGGGGGCGCACACCTGGACCCTTCGGAGCCCTCTCCTGTCCTCCCTGACATTTCCGGACAAAGACAAATATCACATAACACACATCAATGCTTGGTAATCAGGACCAGAAACAGCGGTAGGGCCACAACACGGCTGTACTTAGGACTGCTGAAACACGAAAGCACCCCACAACACTCTTCCTTTTCTCCAGGACCTCTCCACGGGGGCCAGTCACCTGCTCTTCAGAGCTGTCCCCTCTCCGTGTCCACCGGCTCTAATGAGAGTCACCCAAGACAGGCAGTTCCCACCTGAACCACCAGGAGCGTGGTGGCACATATAATCGGTCCAGAGAGGGCTAGGCTGAAGACTGCAACAGGGGTGCAGAGGGGGGACGCACAGGCCCCCGTGCGAAGACAGCGCAAGGGGTCTTTGCAGGAGGGAGACGGGCGTAGGGAGAGCAGCCCCTGGAAGCACCCGGGGTCTTACCAGCACGGTGATCCCTTGCTCTTTGCATAGCATGGCCACTGCTCCCAGGAGGATGCTCAGCAACACCCAGAACGTGGAGTGGGTCTTCTCCCTGTTAGCTGCCGACCAGGAGAAACAACAAACGCACAGTCACTCAGCTCAGCTCAGTCTTGGGAGCCCTGGGAACTCAAATTCTCAGCATGCACCTTACACAGTCACCGTTTAAAAACACTTTGGTCTTGAATGGCATTTCTCTGTGGGCCAGTGAGTTAGATCCGCATTGCTGGTTAGATGGTGTAGCTCAGCAGGTGGAGAATCTGCCTGCAATGCAGGAGACCCGGGTTTGATCCCTGGGTTGGGAAGATCCCCTGGAGGAGGGCATGGCAACCCACTGCCGTACTCTAGCCTGGAGGAGTCCATGGACAGAGGAGCCTGGCAGGCTATAGTCCATGGGGTCGGAAGGAGCTGGACGTTTTGGACTTTTTTCGTGACTCAAGATATGATTGAGCGACTAACACTTTCACTTTCTATATGGCACACACACCCCCTCCTCCAGGTCCCCCAGCAGGAGCCCAGAGCCTTCGGGAGGCACTGCAATGCAGCCCTGGTACAAAGACATCTCAAGGCAGAGTTCCCAGGGGCGAGGTCCTTCTTCCCAGCCCGCCAGTCACCTAACAGGCCGTTCTGACAGCTTGTGCCGAGGACTCGCACGGGTGGTGTAGACGCTGCATCTGGCTACCCCCCTCTGCTCTGAGAATCTCTACAACTCCCGGAGTCGGGGTCCAGCACTGCTCTGAGAGTGTCTACCACTTCTAGGTGGAGTCTGGGCTCTCTGAACCCCAGATGCCTTAAGAACACCTGCTCTGCTACCAGCGTGGACTAGTTCTGAAGGATGCCGGACCACTGAGCTCACCTGCACGGATACTCAAGCATCAACAGGAAACCAAAACCTCAGCAGAAATGTGACCGCGGCAGCAAGCCGCTTGGCTTGGGTGTGGCTGGGCTCCAGTAATAACTGACGGTCCCTGAACGCCTTTCGAGGAGGAAGGGTCTGCTCTCTACTGGCAGGGGGTGTGGAGGATGCAATTTGGGGACCAGAGCTGACCTGCTCCGGGCAGGAGAGGAGAAGGCACGTGTGATACTCCTCTCTGTTCTTCGTGAGGTCCTCAGCTCCTCACTGAGGTCAGTGGTGAACAAACATTTTATAAAGACCTAAGTGTGAGGTGGGGCAAAGTGAACCTGCTTGGAGGAGGTGCCCCTGGGTCTTGGGTCAGCTCTGCCTAAAACCAGAACTCCTGGGCTAAATTCCAGCTCTGCGGTTTACCACGTGACCTGGAGCAAGTTACTTGTACAGCCTCAGGGTCCTCATCAATAAAATGCGTGCGACAATAACTGTATCTTCCCTACTCGAGTGAGAAAAAAGGTATACAGAAATACCTACCCATTTGTGTTAAAAGTTACATATAAAAGTTGCTCATACATATGCAAAACATCTCTCTGGAGAACACATAGGAAACCAACTACAGAAGTTTCTAAACTTTTTTTCCCATACCATGCAGCTTAATCTTAGTTCCCTGACCAGGGATCGAACCCAGGCCCTGGCAGCAAAAGTGCCTGTGTCCTAACCACTGGACTGCTAGAGAATTCCCTCTAAACAACTTTAAGGAGAAAAATTTGGATAGGAGAGGAAAGAAATCTTACTTTTCACTGCAAAACCTTTCATACCGTGTACATTTTTTTAAACTACGTGCATGAATTAAAGACCATACTAAAAACTAAACATCGAAAAAACAAACAAAAAACCTTGATAGACTGCTGGCACCACAGAAAGCATTCACTGTTTGTTGCACATAAATCAGCAAAACCACCCCAGGTTCAAGGGAGAGGGTCTCCAATGGGGCTTTGATGCAAGGGGGCGACTGATCCATCACCTTGTCACCAAAATGTGCCAAGCTTGCTATGCAGTGACAAGATACACCTTGGTTCTCATTAAACTGCTTGAGCAGAAAACCAACAATTAAGGTATGTGAGAGAGACAGGGAGACAGAGAGACGCAGATCTTGAATGAAGTGGATACCTGGGAGTCATCAGCAAAGCCCCAGACCAAAGTCCTGGGCTCCCTGTCCGGGATCAGCTGTGGGGTCTGGAGCCGGGAAGAGAGGATGCTGCTAACTTGGAACTTTCCACGTGTGGCTGGAGACTCCTCTCAGGATGCCAAGGGGTTGCACCCAGCCAAGCCCCCTGGACTCTCAACAAACTGTGAACAGGACTGACCCCCGTGCTGTCCAAGGGCCCAGTCGGCTGGCTGGGAAAACGTCCTCACTCACACATAGGCCTTAGGGGCTTGAGATTCAGAAGTCAAGCAAAAGGACACACAGGCTGACACTGTCTGATCTTTTCAGCTTTTCTTGGGAATCTCTGTTGGATTTCCGGGATTAATGTACAAACAGCAGAACTGACAGAATACAAAAAAGTTTTATTTGGCTGTACAGTCAAGGCACCCGAAGGCTTTTCACCAGCCCAACTGATCAATAAACGGTAAAGCCTCACTGATTCAAATTCCATGGTCTCAAATCAACCAGCACTCTTGTTTTCAGTCTTTCTGATCTGATTCTTCCTGCTGTTGACAGGATGAAGGGGTCCCAATGCTGAAAACAGCACTTAGGGCCTTCCTTATGGGGTGACACAGCCTCTCCAGGTTCCCTGGGTCTAAATTTCAAGCACACGGGCCACTCTGCTTTCACTGGGCTTTGCACGTTCCCTTGTCTTAGGCTAGAATGCCCCAGAAGAATCCTGTGGCCATCAAAGATCACTTAGGCTGCGCAACCCACCCTCCTGGGCAGCCTCCCTTCTGATTCACGTTTCATTCACAGTTGCAACAACAGCAAATGGTCCTACTGTGTGCACGCCTGACTGCCCAAGTAGCAGGGTCTGTCCCATGCACCTCAGTGCCCCTAACTGACCTCCTACCTTAAGTCAGGCCCAGCAGTAGCCCCCAAGATGGCCCTAAGCACAATCTACTAGCGTGTTCTTCTCAGACTTCACGACCAATGCTTGATTTTCAGCTCTCACCTTTGGCAGTGCTGACACATGGGTCAATTCTCAGCATTGGAGGATGTTAGGTGCCTCCCTTGTTTCTACCCCCACTGGAAGCCAGCAGCCCTCCGAGCTCTCAGTTGTGATGACCCAAAACATCAGGCTTTGCCAGATGTCCTGGGTGGGAGGGGATCATGCCCAGTGGAGACCATTAAACTAACCAGTGCCACTCACAGCATGTGGTCCTGCCCTTGGATCTTCTAAGAAAGGCAGATGCTCAGGCCCTCCAGCCCAACCCAGACCCTTGGACTCAGAGACTTGAGGGTGGAGCACCACTGAAAGCCTGTTAACCAGCCATCCAGGTGATTCTGATGCCACAGGTCAAGGAGCATCACCCTTGGTGGAAAGCTTGCTCACAGCTGCATCCTGGGTACCAGGCCTGGCTCGTTGGAGCATCTTCTCCAAGTGCCAGAATCTAGGGTACCTGATTACCTATCAGGAGGGGCAGGGAACTGACAAATCACAGAGCCATAACGCAGGAACAGCTGGAGCGCTTCCAGGAGGTTGTGCCTGTGATCTCCCTGGCAGCAATGGCAGAGCGGGAATCCCGCCCAGGATGCTGCAGGCAGGGGGCCACATGGCTGTGACTTTGAGAACTGATAGTCCATTTCAGTTTTAACTTCGAGTGAGCCCACGCCTGCTTTCTACTTGCCTCCCACCGTCCTGAGCAGCAATATCCCAATATCCCAGGTGGCACAGTGCCTAGAAGCCAAGTTGTCTTTATTGAAATCCATGGTATATCAGAGTAAATACTCTGATAGTTCCATCGAGCAAACTAAGGATAATTTCACTTGTAGAAGTTAATTACATTATACATGTAACACCAAGAGATCACAATTACGAGCCCCAATCACAAAGCCCTGTTACATTAGACATGATTGCATTGGGGGTATTCATGTATTTATTGGGATTTATTATTTTCTCTGGGCTTCTCTCATAGCTCAGTTGGTAAAGAATCCGCCTGCAATGCAGGAGACCTGGGTTTGATTCCTGGGTTGGGAAGATCCCCTGTAGAAGGGACAGGCTACCCACTCTAGTATTCTGGCCTGGAGAATTCCATGGACTATATAGCCTATGGGTTCACAAAGAGTTGGACACGACTGAGCAACTTTTACTTTGGGCATTTGCTAGCAATCAGCAACAGACAAGTGTTTATAGACACCAAGGCATTGAGACCTTTAAAAAAAATATGGCCAAAGTAGAGGAAAAGCTAATGGATCATTAATTTCTCTTAGCATATGATTTTGAGAAAAGTCCCACAAGTTTCAGCAGGTGAGCACAAGGGCCCAGGCCAGAGCAGAGGGGCCACGCTCACGCCACAGCACACCAGAGGATGGGCACCCCACACCTTCCGACACATGAGAGCAGTGGGTGGAAGGTGACCCCACAGGTCTTGTCCTCTCCTCTCAGTGTAGGGTGTTCTCTCAGCCCTCCCTCCTGTAACACGTTGTGCTGAGTCTGCATCCAACCACTTTTAGGGAGTTGCTCATATCAGCAGTTTATATGCAAATATGTGTGTGCTCAGTCATGTCTGACTCTTTGCAACCCCATGGACTGTAGTCTACCAGGCTCCTCTGTCCATGAAATTTTCCAGGCAAGAATACTGGAGTGGGTTGTCATTTCCTCCTCTGGGGGATCTTCCTGACTCAAAGGCAGGCAGATTCTCGACCACTGAGCCACCCAGGAATCCTTATATGCAATAGATACCCCTTAATTATAAACGAACCCATTAATTACCATGGAGCCTCCCACCCTGGCTCCTGCGCCCTTGAAAACCCCACACCTCAGACCCAGCCATTGTTTTCATATCCACTAGGCATTAGGTTCAGTAGTTCACTAGAAACCATAACGGAGAGACTTCCCTGGGGTCCAGTGATTAGGACTCCAGATTTCCACCACAGGGGGCATGGGTTTGATCCCTGGTCAGGGAACTAAGATCCAGTAAGTCACATGGAGCGGCCAAAACAACCCCTCCAAAAACAAACAAAAAAAACCCACAAATGAACCTCTTCCCTCCTCACTCCCT